AGAGCTCCGGGACCTGGTAACACTTGGTTTGTGTCAGCCTAGGATTTCTGCCGTCTCCACCCCCATGACTTTCTCCTTTGTGCTTCAGCATAAGAATAAAAAGCCTCGGGAGACAGATCTTTTGCAAAAGCAAAGGGGACCAAGAGATGAGAAGGAGTGGGACTGGAGGAAAAAAGAATTAAAATGTGTTACGGACCTGCACCAACTTCCCGTGCGAATGTAATCATTCTGTGCTCCACACGTGCTGATAAATATATGTATAAGTAAAATTTTAAAAAAAAGTAAAAAGCCTTGTTCCTGGGCCAGGTTCTTTGGAGTCTTCTGACCAGGAGCACAGTACCCCGCCCAGGTCAGTGACAGTAGGAGTGTGACCATGAAGTCTCTATTGCTCAGTAGCTGCAGAGGGGACCAGGTGCAGTGCGTCAGGTACCAGGCTTCTATCCTGGGACTACTCTGAGGTCTGGGTTCATCCCCGTCCTCACAAGGACGGGGAGATACTGCTTGCGACTCTTGGGAATTCCCTTTCAGAAATTCTCCCCTAATGAAACTGGATTCCATCTTTCTTGTAGGCTGTTGGGTACAAAAAGCAGCCCCAAGGCAAGCTTCTCCTTTGAGAATATGGAACATGTGCACTGTGCGACCCACCGCATGAAGCTGCAGGGATTTGTTTGAAATTCTAGACAGCTGAAAAGTCTATGCCACATCTTATAAATACATATGGGGTCATGAGAAAAAGCAACTGGCTTGAAAAGAGTTTCATTCATTGTTAGAGTAAAAATTGAATTCTAGCTTCTTTCGGCTTCCTGGGAGAGGCCGAGGCCTGTAGAAATGCTCTTCATGTGCTTCTCACTGTTCTAACCCTGCCTGGGTCACACAGCACTGCCTGTCCAGAAACCCACAAAACCGTTTTTCACTTTTCTTCCGTCCTGCATGACTATCTCACATCAGGTTCTTCGGCAGCTTCTCTGGACCTGGTCTGTAGGCTCAGAAGGATACTAGACTAGTACCTTAACAGTGGCCTCCTGGAACTCTTTAACTCCTAATAGTGAAATTTTTAGACCCAAGGTCAGTCTGGTGGGGAGTGCTGAGATGTAACAAATCTGGCGGGTACCTAAGTTGTTATAATTCTTTTTTTTTTTTTTTTTTTTTGGTCTTTTTCATTTTTATCGGTACCAGGGATCGAACTCACGACCACCTGCTTGCAAGACAGGTGCTTATGCCACTGAGCTAAATCCCCAGCCCCTAGTTGTTATAATTCTTTGCACATAATAAAAGCTTTTGACCTAGAATGCTGATTGATTTGTGTCTCACTAATACATATGACTACACATCTTTCCATGTGTAATTACAGTAAAGAAATGTTAAAATAATTCACTACAAATCTATATGAGAAAAGGCTTGTTAAAGATTTAATTCTATTTTTCTCCCATTATTTTCTCCTTCGAAGCATTTTTAGGTGAATAGTGTCGCTTTCCTCAAAGCGGATTCTCACTAGAATGTAAATCACATTCCCTCCGTGCTGGTGGTTATTTGTGAATTAATAGTCCTTGCTCTGTGCCCATGTAAATAAAAAAGAAAAGCCTGCATCCTGTAGAAGAAGAATTAGCAAGACGAATATTTTCTCAGCAGATCTTTAGTTTGTGTCTACTTCTCTGCAAAGAACACTGTCATCAGATGCTGACGAGGACCGTCGTCAGCACCTGCCAGCGTAGGATTAGAGTGAGGATGCAGGAGCAGGTGAGCCACCTGGCAGCAGAATCCCTGATTGCACCTAAACATAAGCACGAAGGAGGCTTCCCTGTCTAAGTTTTTGCCCTTCCTTCCGTATCAGAGCTAGGCTTTCCTATGGCTTGGTGGGTTTTCTAGGCAGCCCCTCTGGAGAAGTGAAGGGATAGGGTGCAGAAGGGGCTACAGCAGCCGAATCCTGTGTTCAGGTCCTGACTCGGGACATTGTGGCCATGGACATCTTACCTAAATCCCCAAATCTCACTTCCTTCATTAGCAAAACAGAGTATTTCTGCTCTTTGGACAGAAGTCCCCTCAGAGTATGTTAAATAAGATGTGTGAAGGTGATTCAGAAGCCCTTACGCCGTACACAGCTGTGTGATAGGGAAACTACAGGACCCAGCCATTAGAAAAGGGGTAAGTGATTAACCCTGTCATCTGGGGATGAGTCCCCACTCCCAGGCCCCCGTGTGGCTTCCCATGGAGACAGAAGCTCCTGCTCCTCCCCTTTCTACCTATGCTGACCAGAGAGGGGTACAGTTTGGCTGGTAGCTGCCCTCCCCTCTCCTCTTCCTTCACCCCCCGCCCCACTCCAGGGATGGACTGGGACAACTTGCCTGTGTCCTTCCAGGTCACTTTGCACTGAACCCTGGCTCCCTCTGACAGGACATGCAGCTCAGTGGTTAGGTGTGGGGTCTCCCTCCCACTCCTGTCACTCCAGAGTTGGCTGTCAGCTCTCTGAAGAGTCTGGGAAACCACTCCATGGTTGCAGAAATCATGGAGGGATCCAGGACAGTGATTAAGATCTCCAGTGTCCACAAACCCCAATGAGCTGTGATGAACACAGCTAACCCTCCTGTAGTCCTGTCATTTTTGCAGACAGGACACCTATCAACCAAACAGCTGGCTTCACGGTCCCTGGACAGCTACGGGTCTCCTGCTAGCCCTGCACACTCATCCAGGGAGGTGTCTTATCTGACTGCAATGAGCTTGAATTTGAACTAAGAAGCAGAATTGAATTTGTACCCGTCAGCAGGCTGGATCAGCAGGTTTGAATTTAGGCCAGTTGGACCAATCAGCAGGCTCAAATTTGAAGCGATCACAAATCGCAGTTTGTTATAACAAGCAGCACTCGCCTTATACTTCTCAGGGTGGTCTGGGATAGGGCTGGCAATCCTATGGCAATCCCAGTGGGCTGTTTGTTACCACTGACAACCCTAAAAGGTTTATAATCACGTCTAACAGGTCTCTTTCACATGTAGAGATGCCTCCACCATTCCACAGCACAGACCTGAAAACAAAACCTTGCTTCGGTGATGGGGATCAACAGAGGGCTGGCAGGGTTGACGAATGCTGTCTCACATTAAATAGTGTTGACCAGTGGCACAAAAATAATCAGCCACGCAATAACAGCACAAACTCTTCTTTTTGATGAACTAACAGAGGTTGATATTATAGCTATCTTGCATACAAATACATGCATACCTTTATATATGTTTACCAACATACATATAATTTTTCCTTTCTTCCATTTGTCTTTCAATTCTGGGGATTGCACCCAGGGCCTTCACACTGAGATATACCTTTTTTTTTTTTTTTTTTTTTTTTTTTTAAACAGGGTCTCACTCTGTAGTTCAGGCTGGCTTTAAAATCACTTTGTAGCCCAGGCTGGCTTTGAACTCACAGTGATCCTCCTGCCTTGGCCTCCTAAGTACTGGGGTTATAGATATATAACCTCCCCCATTTATTTATTTTTATTTTTTATTTTTAAACAGAGTCTCCCTAAGTCCCCAAGTTGCCCTGGGCTCAAACCTACGATACTCCTGTTTCAGCCTCCTAGAGTGCTGGGATTACAGATATACACCACCAAACCTGGCTAGTGGCTCCTTTTCAAATCACATCTGGGGGTGAGGAAGATCTCTATCCTGAAGTGCTGTTCTAGATCAGTACATTTTCTTTTGCCAAGGCACTTCATCAACTCTTCTAGCTACACACTTACACAATCTATAGTGTGTAGAGCCTCTTCACACTACATTTTCTCTGAGAAATGAATTTTCTTACAGATGGTACAAGGATCAAACATATAATTAATGCTGTGAATTTGAAAGTATTTACACATAAATAGAATCTCAAATGAGAGAAACACGTTTGCCTGGACACGGATCCACATGCCTGTAACCCCGGGACTCTGGAGGCCAAGGCAGAAGGATCACTGCAAGTTTGAGGTCAACGTGGGCAAATGGCAAGTTCAAGGCCATCCTGAATAACAAAGCGAGACCTTGTCTCAAAACAAACCAGAAGCACGTGTTTGTATACACTGCATCCTGACTTTTCCTTCTGAAGTGAAGGTCACCTCCCCAAGATAATCAAATTCTCGAGAAGTGGAGCAGTGACAGCTCTCCCCCAAACCTGTGCAAACCGAAAGTGATTCGTCCTTCCTCCTGCCCTCCCTTCCTTTCTCTCTCCCTCCCTTTTCTTTCTCTCCCTTCTTGACATCATTATATCTTAAAAGAAGAAGGAGAAGGAGGAAGAGGGGTGAGGGAGAATCAGTAGCAGAGGAAGAACTCACCAGGATGAACATGGCCATGGCAGGCATGGCGGTGCCTGCGGTGCCAGCCCTCTGGGGGCTGAGACAGGAGTGTGATCGTTAATCGTGAAAGAAATCAGCCTGCTGACCACGAGACTGTGTTGACTGTAGGCCCGGTCTGTTGCCAGTCTGCATGGCCTGTGGAAAAGGCTGTGGACGAGGAGCTGAAGTGTCCATCATCCGCTACTGATGCACTAAAGGCTTTCTGTTGGTAAAGGGAGTAACCTAGGAAGCAGATGCTCCAAGCCCGCTTGAGCTACCACAATAAGACTACAGTAGCCCTAATCGCAGCCTGGGGGCATTTTATGAGAAAATCTTAGCCAGAAATGCTCAGTGAAGCATTCCTGATCTCCAGAATCTGTGTAAAATAGCATCAGTCTGTTGTTTTAAACTGCTAAATTTTGGAACAATCGCTTGTACAGTAAAGAACAAACATGACACAATAGAATGACACACTATACATTTGTTGATGTCTAAAAAGTTCTTTTCAAAACAGTGACACATATTTTGACTTTAAATAAGAACAACAAGAGCAACACCAATGACAAAATTCCAGAAAATGATAAAGCATAAGGCAGACAGAGGATTCTATAAGCGTTCCTTTGATTGCAGAGATTCCTTGGCAGAAGTCAGTCCTAGATGTCCAGGTTTACAGGTCTCAGTATGAGGTGAAAAGACCATTTAATTCCTACACTACTGTCCAGGATTGTGGGGTTATGGAATCAGCCACCGAGAGAGAAGGCACATTTTCTTTTCTCATGCAGGCAGAAAAGATCAGGAGGAGTCCACCAACAGCCAGGAAAAGACCAGCAAACCAGCCCAGGAAGAGGGCAGCTCCAAACTCCCACCGTGGTACAAGCTGAGGGATTCCGTCATCCCAGAAATCTTGGACTATGCCATGAGCCACCCAGGAGACTGGAAAGATGACAGTGGCCGAGGCCAGAGCCTCCAGGATCCCTCCCAGGAGGCAGAGGCGGTCCTTGAATATCTCTGTGATCCTGTAAAGCTGGCAGCATTCAGACCCAAAGCCAGACAGCACAAGCCCCAGTAGTCCCAGGCCTTGGCAAGCTATCGTGAGCACGCGTGCTACCTGTAGCTCCTGGGGCAGAGACAAAAAGGAGTCGAAGTTCTTGCACACGATGCCAACTTCTTCTTGATTCACGCAGGTCCCCCAAAGCCCCATGGTCCAGGTTTCCATTTCATTCAGGTCCGTATTGAGAGTCTTCCACAGGGGCAGGACAATGGTGGTGCAGGAGCAGACCCAACCAAGGAGACAGAGGAGCAGTCCTCCGAGCTGCAGTGTCCCACGGAAAGTCCAGGCCATCGCTGCTCTGGCCACAGAGGCAGAAGAATGAGTGTGGTGGCTCAGGGCCTGGTTATCAGGACTACTTTTCCGGAGGCAGGCTTGGGAGAGAATTCCTGTGTTAGTGTTTTGGGCAGCAGCTGAGGCAGGTGTCAGGCGCTGGACAATATTTAGGTTTAGGAAGTGTACTCAAGGTTGGATGTGGCTGTGGATTCTGGGGGAAGGTCCCATGAGAGGCAAAGAGGCATCTGGTAGACTGTCAGAGTGTATTTGGTAAATAGATCTTTACAGTTAAAGTCCGTCCCCAGCTCTGAGATCACGAGGACAGTGCTCTGGGTACCTACACTGATACAATCTTTCTGGAGGGCAGTATGACTTCACGTCCATGCAGCCATGCGGGCTGTGATGCAACACCTTATCTTCAGGGATGTGTGTGTGTGTGTGTGTGTGTGTGTGTGTGTGTGAATAGTTTTCAAAGATTTATGAAAATGCCTATTAAAATGTTGCTAATAATTGTAAATATTGATTAATATTAGATAGTGTATGGTATGTAGGTGATGTATGTAGCCTGACTTTACTTAGAACTTTTAAAGATTTTTTTCTCTTAAATACTAAAATGAGGTTTCTATCTGTACTACCTTACACAGAGTATAAAAGATCTCCCCACCCAGGAAGAAATAATTTTATTTTATTTTAAAAATTAATTTTACTGGAACACTTTCACTTGCGTAATGATTACATTCATCATGGGGAATTTGTACCTGTGTATGTATGACATGGCTTCAGGTTTCTTTTTTCCCATCCTCTCGCCTCCCTTCAACCCTCTTCCCCTTCTTTTTTTTTTCCTTTTTATCGGTACCGGGATCGAACTCACGATTGCCTGCTTGCAAGGCAGGCGCTTATGCCTGCTGAGCTAAATCTCCAGCCCCTCCCCTTCTTCTTTACAAAAGTTCTGTTTGCATTCTTCTAGTTTCTTCCCCCTTTTCCCCACCTTCCCTTTCTTCTCTCCACTTCCTTCTTCTCCCTCCCGTTTGAACATTTTCTTCCTGATTCCCAGCATCTATCATCCATTTGGATCCTAGTTTATGCTTTCAGTTTCTCAAGAAGAGGAAAATATGATATTAAACATGTGTATAATTTATTCATTTAAACGTACAATCTCAAGGTGCATCTATTTGGTAAAAATGTCTCTAGTTTGTCCTTCCTTATGGTAAAGTAGTATGCCATCATATGTAAGAAAAAACCCCACATTTTCTTTATCTGTTCATCTGTGGATGAGCATCTAGGCTGCTTCTAAGCTGTAGCTGCTGCCAGCTGGGCTGCTGTAAACATGCATTTGCATGTATCCTTGTGGTGTGCTGCTTTTCCCTCCTTCAAGAAGATACCAAGAGGGGCTGGGGATTTAGCTCAGCAGCATAAGCACTTGCCTTGCAAGCAGGCAGTCGTGAGTTCAATCCCCCGTACTGATAAAAAGGAAAAAGACAAAAAAAAAAAAAAAAAAAAAAAAGATACCAAGAAGAGATTTGAATGTCTGCGTCAGATGGAATCTCTCATTTTAGTTTTTGGAATAATTTACATGCTGATTTCCATATTGGTTGCATTTATTACTGCTTGATTTTTTTTTGTTTTTTGTATCTGGGATTAAATTCATGACCTTATGCTTGCCAGGCAGGCGCCTGTGGTGCTAAATCCCCAGCCTCAATTTCTTTGTTAATATGTATTTATTTTTATTGATACATTTTAGATACATGTATTGATAATATAAGTCATAGGGAATTCGTATCCGTACATGACATATCTTGCTTCTTCTTTTTTCCCCACTCCCTTCCACCCCTCAAGTACAAAAGCTTTGTTTCCGTTTTCTCCTTCTGTTCTTTTTTCTTGTCCCTTTGTTCCTTTTCTCCTCTCCTTACATTTTTCCCCTTCTCATTTGAACATTTTCTTCCTATGTCCTAATATCTATTATATGTTTTGATCCTCACTTATACTTCTGTTTACAGTACTTAAAAACACGTGTCCTATGTGTTACACTTAAGAATATGTCCAGGTGCATCCACTTACCTAGAAATGTTTCCAGTTTATTGTTTTATGGCAGAGTAGTACCCCATCACATATTCTTTATCCAGTCATCAGTTGATGGGCATTTGGGCTGTATCCAAGGTTTAGCTTTTATAAACTATGTAATAAACATGGGTGTGCACATAACACTGCAGTATGATGCTTTTAATTCTTTCAGGAAGGTACCAAAAAGGAGACTGTCTGGGTCAAATGGAACCTCTAGTCCTGGTTTTTGTGGAATCTCCACACTGATTCCCAGTCTGCACTCCCACCAACAGTGGAGAAGGGCTCCTTTTCCCCCACGGCCCTGCCAGCATTGTTATTGGTTGATTTCCTGACAATGGCCATCCTTTCCCCAGTGAGATGCAATCTTAGTGTTGCTTTAATTTGTATCTCTTGAATGACCTGTGATGCTGAAGATTTTTTCATACGTTTATTTTCTTTTTCTGTTCTTTCATCTGAGACATGTCTATTCATTTTAGATGCTCATTTTTGGATTGAGTCTTTAAACTTGAGAGGTCTCATTTTTTGAGTTCTTTATATATTCTAGATAGTAGTCCTTTGTCTGAGGAGTGGTTGGTAAAAAATTTTCTCCACACTATGGGTTGTCTCTTCACTCTGGTGGGGCTTTTGGGGTCTTTAATGTAGAGTATCATGTCATTCACAAATAATGATAATTTAACTTCCTCTTTCCTATTCTTTTTTATTTTGTTTCTTTCTCTTGTCTAGTTGCTCTAGCTAACATTTCCAGAACTATACTAAATAACAGGTAGTGTGAAACAGACAGTGGAAATCCTTGTCTTGTTCCTGATTTTACATTAAAAACTTTCAGACTTTGTCCATTTGGTATGATGCCAGCTGTTGGTTTGTCAAAGATGAGTTTTTCTCATACTGAGATAAACGCCATTTATTCTAGTTTTCTGTAGGGTTTTTATCATTAATGAGTATTCGATTTTGTTAAGTACTTTTTCTGTATCTATTGAGATGATCATATGTTTTTCTCCCCTGGCTTTGTTAATATGCTGTATCACATGTATTGATTTGCATATGCTAAACCATCACTACATCCCTGGGATGAATCCTATGGGTCATGGTGAATGATCTTCTTGATTATTACTGCATTCTGTTAGCTCATATCTCACTGAGGATTTTTGCATCTATGCTCATTATGGAGATTGATCTGTAGTTCTCTCTTTTGATTTGTTTGGCTTTGGTGTCCAGGTCATGCTTGCCTCCAGGAATGAATTTGTGAGTATTGCTTCCATTTCAATTTCATTAAAGAGGGTGAGAAATAACATTATTAGGTCTTGCATAAATTTCTTGTAGAATTCAGTGGTGAATCATCAGGGGCTGGGCTTTTCTTTGCTGGTAGGTTTTTAATTACATCTTCAATTCCATTGACTGATAATGGTTTATTTAGAATGTTTATATCTTCTTGATTCAGTTTTGTTAATTCATATGTATGTAGAAATCTATTTGTTCTGCTTTCCATCTTATCCCTTCAAGCATAGCAGAGGGTTCCACATACACCCCTCATTATTCTACTGTAAACTTTTACTTTAGTGTAATAGTAGACACCTGGGTATCTCAGTGCCTTCCATGAGGGCAACAGGAAGCAATCTTTGTGCTTACCCACTTGGTATGATGAAAGACAAGATGTGTGCACATGTGTAAAAGTGGAAACTAGGATTTACACCCACATTATCCTCTGTGGAACAGATTTTAGGTTTATCTGTGCATCACAGAAGGTCTCATATACCCACATCACACCAGGACTTGTTTTGAAAAGCTTTCTTTTGATTTTTCTGGTAGTAGGAGACCAATTCTGTATAATGGCACATGAAAAAATCAGCTTTGTAAGTTTTGAAGGAAGTCAGAAGTGAATCATTACATTACTCCTGCATGGATAACGAATATGGTCCATTGGATGATCTACTATCAGTCAATGAATCAATACATGCTTTCATAACATGTATTGATGGTGTTGTGGGTATATAATAATGACATTGATGGAAATGTTGGGGAATGGGATGCAACCAAATGGAGCGATCCACTGTGAGAATTAGTCTGAAAATATAGTGACGGTCTTTGGAGGGGTGAAAGTATTGGACAGTACGCCAGCACTGCCATTCCAACAAAATGCTGCAAAATGTACAATGGCTGAAATCTAAGTAAAGCATTCTGTATGAGCAAACAGCTATATTAAAATGTGACACCTGTATTAAAATTATGAGGCCTCAGTAGCTGTATTGAAGCATTCATAGGTGTGCTGTGCTTAGCAAGGATTTCTTATGGTGATCGCAGGAATATAAAAGACTTATGGAAAAGCAATGGGTCACAATATGCATAAAAATTTATGTCCTTGTAGATGCAAAGCCTTATCATGCTTTCAAGTTAGACCTTCACCCTGGAACCCAGCCATCAGGTCCTTAATTGTATGGTAATAAGTCAAATGATGATGTGAACAGACTTGCGGCTCCCATCTCCCAAACTAATCAGAATGCAACAATCAATAATTGGCTTACCAGTTTCTGATTATTGTTAATTTTGCCAGCAGAGCGCAATTTGACCAGTGCAGGCAGGAACAAAGCAGAAATTCCCAGTGAACTGTTGTTCTGGGTGTAGTGGCGCATGTCTGTAATCCCAGAATTTGGGATGCTAAGTCAGAAGGATTGCCATAAGTTTAAAGCCAGATGGGACTACATAGTGAATTCAAGGCTAGCCTGGACTACATAGTGAGACTCTGTCCCAAAAAATAAAAATGAAACATTGCCATTTCAAAACAGAGAATTATACAGTATAATCTTTGGATTTCAGAAAAATTTGTATTGGCCTCTTAAATGTCAAAGAAAAACAAACTGATACTGCTGGGGTTAACATTGCACCATGGTGGAAATATTGATAGGGAAACCTAGGCAAACTAGAAGCCCAAGATGGAAACTTTCTACAACAAAACAAAACATTTTGTTGTTGAGTTATGCAGCAACAATGATGAACAAACACCCTGATAATTTACAAAGAAATTAACAAGTGTAAAATAGCATGGAAAAATTTTCTTAGAGGATTGAGACTGGTATTCAAGGGAGATCTTTTTTTTTTTTTTTGTCTTTTTCGTTTTTACCGGTACCAGGGATCGAACTCACGACTGCCTGCTTGCAAGGCAGGCGCTTATGCCGCTGAGCTAAATCCCCAGCCCCCAAGGGAGATTTTACAGCAGAGAAAAAGCTATGCCACAAAACTGTGGACCACACTAGGGAGCTGACAGGTGAATAGGCAGGTGCAGCATCCCAAAGACCTCCTACTGTTGTAAACCGCCTCCCCCCCAAAATAAGGTCCCATAAGATGAAAAACGGGGCAAGACCCCTGAGATGAAAAACAGGATGATGTCTCTTTTTTTTTTTTTTTTTTGTCTTTTTCCTTTTTTTATCGGTACCAGGGATCAAACTCACGACTGCCTGCTTGCAAGGCAGGCACTTATGCCCCTGAGCTAAATCCCCAGCCCCAGAATGATGTCTTTTTAAAAGAAGCGCTTTTATTTTAGCTGGCCCAGTGACACAGTGCAGATGGAATTTGCAAAGCTGTGCAACTAAGTTAGAATTTTGACTGATTTTTATAGTTCATTTATGATTAGCTCATTGATCATTAAGTACATAGTGATGAGAAACAGAAACAAGGTTCCCCTTTTTGTTCCCCTTTTTGAGGTAAGAGGCATCTCACAGTGGGTGGTTAGCCAATTCATAGCCCTTGGTGTGCCAATTCCAGAAACATTTGTCTCTCATAAAGGGAACAATGGTTGACACAGCATCATTTGTCTCTTACAAGGGAACAAAGGTTGACATAGCAAACAGGTTATTAAGGGGGGGGGGACGATGCATACAGAACAGCATGAAGACGCGGTCAGTTAATTTATAACAAATATATAACAATGTGGTCGGTGCTCCATGTACATGGTTACTAGGGCGATAAGCATAGAGCATAACACTACGACAACAGGAAAACAAAATGAAGTCGTTCGGGCTCTCCAAGAAGGGATAGGCAAACCAAATGTGCCAACAGTATAGGAGGTACTTATGCATGGAACATGCAATTTTCATGTAAAGACTGCTTTGGATAATTGAAGCAAAGAGTGTTTTTGTTGTAGAGTTCTGTTGGCATTTTCATTATAGTTCACATAGGTTATTATTTCTTTTTTTTTTTTTTTTTGTACTGGGGATCGAATTCACGTCCTTGTGCTTGTAAGGCAGGTGCTTATGCTGCTGAGCTAAATCCCTGGCCCCATAGGTTATTATTTCTGATGACACCTTTTAGGTTATGTAACCATAGAGGCAGCTGATGTGCAAATGTTGATGTCTATTCTCAGCACTCATACCACATTTAATATTTCATTTTATTGACATCTTATTTTCTTATTATTTAGGTGTGATAATTGAAGCAAAATTTTTTGTAGAGGGCTATTGATGTTCTCATTGTAGTTCACATAAGAATTTATTTCTGATGTTATCTTTTAGGTTTTGTAAGCAAGTGCAAACCTTATTGGAAAACACTGATGTTTATTCTAAATGTGCAATGCATATTTAGAATCTAATGTTTTATTTTATGATATTTTATTATCCTGTTAATGACACACTGCACAATATAAGAATCTCCTGATAAACCAGCATGATCAGCCACTTGTCAAGTGTGACTTACACAAAGGCAGGAAAGTAAAACACATGTGCTGTCAGTGTATATGGAACGCGCTGCTGTCATGTGTGAAGACTGCCTTGAGTGCAACAATTGAAGTAAAGAGTTTTTCTTTATTTTGGTACTGGGGATCGAACTCATGACTTTGCACTTGCCAGGCAGGTGCTTAGCTGTTGAACTAAATCCCCTGCCCAAGATTATGTTTTTTTAAACGTATGATATTTTCATTGTAGTTCTATAGAAATTTATTTCTGCTGTCCTTTTTAAGACTTTGTACACCAAAAGCCAGTTGATGTGAACATTTTAATGCTTTTTTATAAACAATAAATGTTAAAACTGCAATTACTTAATTTTTGTGATTTTCTTTCTTAAGTGCTCATTGCTTGATATAAAATTCATAAAATTAAAGTTAATAATTCACCAATAGAAATATTCTAAAAACTAAATATAAATGTGACAGTCTCATGGTTATACCACAAAATGACAAAAGTGCGTTAGGCTCCCAGGTTAGAAAACTAATTCTAAAAGTAGGTATTGATCTGGATTTCTGCAGGACTTGTGATTTCACCCTTTTCATTCCTAATTGCATGGATTTGAATCTTTTCTTATTTTTGGATAAGGTTGCTAAGGGTTTGTCAATTTTAATTAACCTTTCAATGCATTGATTCTTCATATTATTTTTTTAGTCTCCATTGCATTAATTTATGCTCTGATCTTCCTTGTATGAGCTTTGGGCTTGACTTCTTTTTCTAGAAGCTTGAGATTCAACATTAGGTTATTTGAGCTCCCTTTGTTTTTCTGCTAGGAGAATTCACTGCTATAAATTTCCTTCATAGGACTGTTTTCATTGCATCCTGTAAGTTCTATTTTTGTTGTTTTTATTTATTTTTTTTGCACCAAAACCAGTGATCACCATTTGCCCAAGACTAAAAAAATTATGCTTCTGATATCTTTGGATATCAATCCCTCACACAGAACAAGCAAGTTGCTCTATGTGTGCCACTCATGACAAGTCATTTTTAAATTGATTTATTGTATTTGATTATAGTTTTATTATAGAAACTGTCTAATTGCTTCTTTAATTCATCTGTGACTCATTAGTTGTTGAGAAGGGTGTTATGTAAGTTTTCAAAAGTGTATTCTTAACTCTTTTTTTCCAAATCCACTTTTATTTCAAGGAGAAAAAGAAGTAAAAAACTAAAACAAAATTTCAAAACACGTCAGAGGGCAACAATATACATTGCACACTGTCATCCCCAAATCATTCACCCAGAGCAGAAGACGTCTGCATTCAATTGTCCAAATAATTCCAGCACGAACCTTTCTCTTCAGTGAACTTGGAGAAGTCAGTAGTATAACTATCTTAACTATTTTTATATGCTTATACACATACATATACATAAACGTATGCGTATTTGTTTCAGCTTCTCACACTAATGAAACAATACAATGTATATGTATATTTTTATATACTTATACACAAACATATATATATATATATATATATATATATATACTATTTATCAAAGAGGCTTTCTTTCAGTGAATGTTCTTAGCACCTTTGTCAAACATAAGGTGGCTCAGTGTGTCTGGAGTTGTTTCTGCATCTTCTAATCTGGTCCAGTGATCTTTGGTCTGTTTTTTTGGCCAGTACCATGCTGTTTTTTTTTTTTTTTTTTTAATCACAGTAGCTTTATAGTATAATGTCAAGTCAGGGACTGTGATGCCCCCGGCTTTGTCATCCAGGATTGCCTTTGCTATTCTAGGTCTCTTCGGGTTTCAGATAAATTTTAGGATTGTTTTCTCTAATTCTGTGAGATATGCCATTGGAATTTTGAATGAGGTTGCACTGAATCTGCATGACAGTTTTGGAAGTATGGCCTTCACTCTATTGGTTCTTCCTATCCAAGAGCACGGGATGTCTCTTTCTTTTCTTTTCTTTTTTTTGGTAGTCTCTTTATTTTCTAATATCCTGTTCTATCTCCTTTTTCAGAGAACTATAGTTTTCAGTGTAGAGATCTTTTACATCCTTTGTTAGGTTGACTCCTTGGTATTTCATTTTTTTGGATGCTATTTCGAAAGCTGTTGTTCCCTTGATTTCTCTCTCACTGAGTTTATTATTCATGTACAGGAAGGCTATTGATTTTTGAGTGTTGACTTTGTATCCAGCTCTGCCACTGAATTTGCTTACTAAATCTACCAGTTTTTTAATGGAGTTTTTGAGCTCTTTTATGTAGAATATTACATCACCAGCAAATAATGATAGTTGAACTTTTTCCTTTCCTATCTTTATTCCCTATCAGTTTTGAAAGATAGTTTTGTGGAGTACATCGATCTGGGTTGGAGGTTGTTTTCTTTTATGGTTTGAGATACTTCACTGCAAGTTCTTGACGTTATGGTTTGTGTTAAGAAGACTGCTGTGATTCTGATGGGCTTTACTTATAGGTGATTTGTTTGTTTTCTCTAACAGTCTTGTGTTAAACTACTGGGATCTTGACTATTATGTGCATTGGTGTAATTTTTTAATCATGGTTAAGTAAATGGAAGGGAATTGAAATTATTCCACGCTTAACATCAGATCATAGAAATCAGTGGCAAAAGAAATCACAGGAACTTCATAAGCAGATGAAAATTAAACAGGAAAAGACTTCTGGGAAGATGGCAGAGCAGTAAGCAGAAGAGAAAACAGCCTCTCTGAGAGCCACTGTCCAGACACTGAATTATTGCATCCTGAGGACAAGAAGGAAGAAAGTGGGTTCCCTGGACCCAGGGAGAATCTGAAGTGTGATTGAAGCCCACAGAGAGAGTTAAAAGAACAACTTCAAGGAAGAAGGCCGAGGCAGCTAGCAGTGCCTTTGCCCTGAGGCAGGACTCACTGAATGAGAGGGGCTGCTCAAACCTACAACACGTGGTCATGATAACAGTGATGGCTGGTGACCCGTGAGGGCAGAGCTGGATGTGGAGGCCTGCACTGGCTGGCAGTGAGTGCAGAGGGCTAATTCCTCCCACAGGGAGAAAGTGATTAGCTGAGAGAGGTTTTGGAGATGGGCTGAGCACAGAATGCAGAACTGCTGCTGGCTCCATCCAGAAGCTCCCAGCCGCACTCAGACCTGTGGAAATATATTGGACTGTGGCAAGCCAGAGAGGCCTGCTGAGATTATCTGCTAACCCTAACCCTTCAGCCACCACAGTTCAAAGGGACACCTGTCGTCTTGGTTACTTTTTCGTTATGAGACAAAATACCCAACACCCAAAGTTAATGGAAAAAAGTGTATTTAGCTCACAATTTATAGAGGTTTCAGTCCATTAAATAATTAGCAGACTCCAAGGCAGGATGCTGTGAAACATTTATGGCTGCAGAAGACAGCAGAAACTGCAAGACCAAAGGGGGAGAAGCAAGCCTCCTTCCCTCTCATACTGCATGCAGGTTGTCTGCCCTAGGGCAGGTGCAGCATTTATACCCCAATCCCAGCACTAGACAATGAACCAATCACAAGTTTTAGATTCAGCCACCTTGGAAAAGGCTGCCCCCATAACCACATGAGGCTTTGAGGGACATCCAGACACAGATCATAATACCTGTATTGAGAGTAGTCCTGTTTTCACTTACATCCATAGTATGGGGAATCTTGCTAAGGCTCTGGCTCAGAGGCTCTTGGTAATTTTTCTAATTTTTTCCTCTTTGTCATATGATCTCCCTCATAGAAGGTATGGAAGTCTGACTTGTTCCTTCTCATACTTAAACTCCACAACCCAACCTAATAATGAAGTTAACATCCTAACACATTCAGCTGACCAGCTAGCTAACCAGCTAGAGATGAATTCTTTTCTCATTGTCTTCTGAAAGTTTTTTAAACCCCTTCTACCCAGCTAGTGAACCACAACATCCCAAGGGAGTTGAAGAGCACTTTATCTCCAGTAGGCAGGGCCCATAGTCTGGACTATGGAAGTGGTTATATGAAAATGAAGACCCCTCTCCCATAAAGAATTGGAGGGGGTATAATCTCTCAGAGGTTAATGAAGCAGATTAGGGCATGGCAAACCCACTAGGCAGGTGGGCATGACCTGTTAATCACAGAGATCCAGGAGACGCATGCCCAAGCCCTGCACATAGAACCACTCTCTGATTCTTCTCACAGGAAACTCAAGGCCAGCCTGGACTAAAAGTGAGTTCAAGGCCAATCTGAACTGGATAGTGAAACCGTGTCTCAAAAAGACAAAACAAACAAACAGAGCTACCAAGAGGCAATTGATTTGGTTTTCCAGGGATTCCCCCCCCCCCCCATAATATGGCTGTCCTTTAGCACTTCCGGTCTCAATACAGGTTTTATTTTTTTTTTGCTCCAGCAACAGGAAACTGTCTTTGTGCTAGTAGGATAAACAGACAGTCCTCATATATGTGAAACTGTCAGAGACAGATTGGTACCTACCTGACATTAGCTTTCGTAAGATCTTGTTTTGTTTTTTGAATGTAATTCTTTTCCAGGTACTGGTAATCAAACTCAGGACCTCAGACCTCACACTTGCCAGGCAGGAGTTGAGCCACTGAGGTAAATCTTCAGCTGTATATCTTTTTGATAAAACAGGAAATAACGGTTTAAACATAATGATACATGTTTATTGCAGAAAAATATAAAAGAATTATATATATATATATATATATATATATATATATAGAGAGAGAGAGAGAGAGAGAGAGAGCGAGCCAGACAGACAGAGCGCGCTAAAAATTATATTCACACTTCTGCAGTTCACCCTAATAAGAAATGTCTGGAATCTAACGGCCACCACTCTGAGATTCTCTTGTAATTATAGAGGCCAAGGGTAACGTATTGTCTCAATAAATTTAGTATTAAAGTATTTATAAAATTTTTCTCTTCCCAATGTATACATTTTCGGGCAGACTATTTTCAGGCATGCTATACTGTGACTATCTTGCACTACGCAATCTATTTTAATAATGAAACTTAACTTTTAACTTTACAGTTTTTTACTAAACTCATTTTTTTCTGGTTTCGGAGACAGGTCTTGCTGTGTAGTTCAGGATAGGACGGACTCTGAGCGATTCTCCGGCCTTAGACTTTGAAGGGCTCAGGTTACAAGCATGCACTAAGGCGACCCGGCTGCTGCGCTCTTGCCGTGCCCTTAATGAAAAAAGATCCAGATGGGACCCTTCGCTCTTCTGGCTAGATAATTTCCCAGACACACGCTCTGAAGCTGAGGGAGGTTCTGTCAGGACCGTTTATTAGATATAAACATTTCATTTCTCCCGGTGAAAGACTGGCCGGAAACGACGTCACATCTGAAAACAGCCAAGCAGGAAGTCGCGCCTCCAACGCACGCCTACTCTGGGAGCCCGCGCAACTCAGCCGGCGCCGCGCGGGTCTGCTGGGAGTTGTAGTACGGCATTCTCCTCTGCGCATGCGCCTCGCCCAGCCGGACTCTGTCTCCCAGCAGCCCTAGCGCACCAGCCGCTGGCGGGACGAGAGTGCCGAGCTGTCCGCTCCGGAGACCGCGGAGCTTCACGTCCCTGTTGCTGCGATGGCTTCCTTTGTCACAGAAGTTTTGGCTCACTCGGGGAGCTTGGAGAAGGAGGATCTCGGCACTCGAATCACTCGTCTGACTCGGCAGGTGGAGGAGATCAAGGTGAGGACGGTGCAGCTGTGGGTTGGCTGGAAAAGGACGCCTGGCGATGTGTGAGGGGACGGGAAAGGAATGGGGCTTGAGACTGGCGGTGGGTGACCCCCAGAAGGGGCCAGTCGGGGACTTCGCAGGGTGCGAGGGTTGAGGAATGTGGATTTTTGAGGTGGGAGCTTGGAGAGGAGTCCAGAGGACGCTTGGGGGACTGAGGAGGCCTGGTACTGGGGAGCGAGGAGCGGTGGCGGGGAGTGCTGGGGAGAAGGGTTGGGGGGACCGGGGACGACCGGAGAGAACAGGAGAGCGGGAGGTGCAGCTGGAAGCCTCGAGGTGTCTCGAGAGGGATAGAAAGATGGGATCAGCCACCCCGTGTAAGAGTGTCATCTCCACCCACTTCTCCCTCGGTGAGTGGATGTCATAGTTCTGGGATTGCACCATCCTCCTTCCCAAACATTTTCCCCTCCCCATAGGTTTTAAAATGGACTTCATCCTTAGACCGCGGAGGCTACGCTGAGTGTCATAAAATTGCCAGTGATGCATACGTGGACCTGCTGCACAGAACCGTGTTCAGTCACTGTCCTGACGTTGTTGGCTTTGCCAGTGTTTGCCCCTGTGTTCAAGTTTTTTCTGCAGGAGCATGTGTCCCCGTTTTGGTGGACTTAAGGAAGCGAGAGTGTGGCATGCACCGCTAAAGTGCAAGATACTGCTCTAGCATGTGTCACTCGGCTTTATGACTTTCACCACTTTTTTATGTTGTTTTTAATGTTGTTGGAAGAGTACAGGATGTTAAGCTACTGGGCATGGCTCTAAAGGCTTTTATGTATTTCGGACCTAATTTACCGTTCCCTATCACTGTTTTCCTTTACCAACTTGAATCTTAGCTCCAAGCAGACCCCATTTTTTTTTTTTTTTTGATCCCAGATTTTGCTTATTTTGCTATTCCTTTATTCTTCTACCATACTTCTACATTTTCTACCCCCTTTTCAGCTTCTACCTCAGTGTAGTCTCTTTATAAAATATACACCATTTTCTCTCAAGAAAGGCAGTCTTTCCCATTTATGCTCCTGGAGGACAACTCTGCTCTATTCCATTTGGGCCCTGTATTTTGGTTACTTCATTGTATAGTTTCTTTCCTACTGAAAAGGAATTGAAGAGCAGACATAATTCTTACATCCTCTGAAACACTGAATAATTCAGAGTAGTCAATAATTTGTTTCTTAAGCTAATTTAAAGGAAATAATGAAACTCAAAGAATTTTTAGAGTTTTGGAATGAGGCCTTTATAGGTAAGAATAAAGAAATTAGTAATATAGAAATACACAAATTTTGGATTTCATTTATCCACTTACACTCTTTTCTGTTAGATATGTGATTAGATTTAGTGGACATAGTCTCCTAGTTGAATGAGAATTTCTGGCTCCACCTTTTTTCTTCTGAAGCATTTTACAATCCTTTTGTACCATTAGGTTTGATCATGGTCTTCTTACATGCTCATAATGATGGAACCCGTAAGGATGAAAGTAATGTGTTTTCGAAAGACTCACTGACTTGGAGGAAAGGCTGTGGGTTAAGAAAGCTATCACATGAAGAAGTTGTCTTTTTCTTTTTCCTTAGTATCTCTTAATTTCTATTTTTATTAATACATGTTTACCATACATAGTGATTACATTATGTGTGGGCAACTGGTGCATGAACCGACTACATCCTTTTGAAAAAGATGTCTTATGGAAGGCGAAGTGTATATTTCTAAGACTTCCCGACCCCTTCCACTGTCTGATGTTGTAATGCTTCTGTCTCGTATCACAGGGTGAGGTGTGCAGTATGATCAGCAAGAAGTACAGTGAATTCCTTCCAAGCATGCAGAGTGCACAGGACCTGGTCACCCAGGTGGATAAGTTATCCAAGGACATTGACTTGCTGAAATCCAGGATAGAGAGTGAGGTAAGAAAGGTTTTCACACTGGGTATGGTTATAGGAAGGTGGTTATCTTCTTGATTTCTAAGAAACTCAATTCTGTAAAACTTTTCAAAACCTCACTTTTCTTATTGGTAAATGGAGGTTGAACCAAATGATTATAGGATGAAGTAATTTTAAATTAGAAATATTTTCAGAACTAATTGCCGCTAGCGTGGTCAAAACATTTTTTAGCTACGATAATAATAATCTTGTGTTTGAGTAGTACTTTACAAATTAATATTAGGACTGTATTGCTTTTGTAAGAAAGTAAAAGCAGATGAAGCTTAGAGCTAAATTATTTGACCTTCTTTTAGCTTGAAATGATCTCCTGCACATTGAACTCGGGGCCTTTGCTGTGTGACCCAAGTGGTTACCGCAGCTGAGCTACCCCGACAGCCCCTGCTTGCGTATCTTAAAGTCTCCGCATTCTTCCTAGATCCGCAGCTGTCCTCAGCACATTCCGGCTTCAAACGATCTTTGCTTTTTTGGCTTTTTCCTGGAAAGCTGGCATGGTTCATCATTATAGCTGCTCTCCTTTCTGTCATAAAGCCACCTTCCTTGTGTGTACAGTGCGTCGTTGCTTTTTTTTCCCACGGTGTCACTTTGTGGGCTAGTTCTTAATGTGCTTCTTACAAAGATTCTGGCAGGTTTTGCAAATGTTCACCATGTTGGCTGGAGTACTACCCTCGCAAAAAGAAGTAAGCAAGTCTGGAAACAGAAATATCTGTTTTATAATTGTAAAAACTCCTGGCAAGCAAGAGGTTGTGAGTTTGATCCCTGGTACAAAAAAAAAAAAATTTGTGCATATTTAAATTCACTAGGATTTTTCCTTACATTATTTTTTAAAGGGAAAATAAGCAGTAGAAAGAAAGCGTGCTGATACCAGTTTTACACAAAGTTTAATCTGAAATGTCTTCTGTATCTGTTTCTAAATTCTTGTCCAGGGATCACTGATACTCAAAATCATGTTGTGGAGATATTCTCAAGGTCTTTTGTCTGCTTTTTTTGGCTCTGTGAGACAGTGTTTTACTATGCAGGTCGGCTGACCTTGCACTCAGGGTGATCCTCCTCTCAGCTGCCCAAGTGCCACCATACCTGGCTCTCAAGACTTAATATCAAGGAAAAATGTCAAATCTGTTCCCCATGTGATAGTTATTAAAGAAAGAAAGCAAACAAATGTGCGTTCAGAAGTTCTAGGATTTGAGTGGCAAATGAGGAAATAATTGGTTACCTAAAACATCTGTTTAGCAGCCCACTTAACAGTCATCCTAGTTTTTAATACAAATAAATAAATATTTTTTTTCTTAAGAGGTTCACGTACTAAAAATAAATAAATATTACTGTACAGCCCTAACATAGTTAAAAAATCATTTCCAGAGTATTTATACTTACTTGACCAGTGAGTCAGTGAATATTTTACTGTGCGATCAGAAGTGCAGTGTTTAAAACAAGGCAGCAGGGTCTCTGTAATTTTTGTGACTGGATTATGGCTGGTGAAATATATTCAGCTTTGGTTATCTTTTTGATTAGAAGGTCCTGAATTAAACAAAACAAATAAACAAGCAAACATCTGAGGTTGTTTAACATCTGAGGTTGGCAAAAATATTTTGAATATCTGAAATCCTATCATATAGGAAAAAGATTCAAATTTATAGCTCAGAAGTAGGAACTAACTTCAGTAGCTGGATGTTTTAAAGAGGTTTATTTAACCGTTTGCTCTGTTGAGCACCTCCAAGGCACAAAATGATGTGCTCATTGCTGAAGGATGAAGTACTTAAGTATGGATCTGAAGATGCCTATAGATGCGTATGAAACAATATTCTATAGGAATAATCCAATTACACAGAGGACAGTGTAGCTGAGGATGACTTCCTGCAGGAAACAGAATTCACCAAAATTTGAGTGTTTGCCGGTCAGGCAGCAGGTGAGGAGAAGTTTAGGGAAGATGTGAGGAGCTGTGCTGAGTCACTTGGGGAGTTGTGAGTCTCCCACATAACTGATGGCTTGGTGTACAATGGGAAGGGACCTGAGGCTGGATTAGAAAGGTAGGGCAGCACTTTGTGTATCGTGTTAGTATTATGGGGTGTCATCTTGCACGCTGCCTTTTTTTCTTATTGGTACCAGGAATTGAACTCAGGACCTTGTGCTTGCCAGGCAGGCGCCATGCCGCTAAGCTACATCCCAGGTATAGTATCATCCTGACAGCATTGTGGAGGCCATGGAGAATTTTAAGCCAGGGATTAACATCAGATTTGAGTTTTCAGAGTCTCATTCTGCTTGCAGTTTGAAGAAAGGACTTGTTTGAGGGAAATGAGCCTGGGAAATGAGAAGGCAGAGTGTTCGAAGGTAGCTGAAATAATTCAGGAAAAGTGAGACTGTGGTCTACTCTAAAGCCAGTGGTGATGGGGGAGGAGCAAAATGGTTCATGTTGGTGACGTTGGCAACATAGAATCTTTTTCCTTTTAACCTAGTTAAGTTTATTGGTACATTTTAGGTAGAGATAATGATTTCATTCACATTCATCACAGGGAGTTTATACCTGTGCATGATATAACTTGATTCTTTTTTTACCCCCATTTCCCAGAAAATGTACCTTCCCTTCAACCTCTCTTCCCCTCCCTGTTTATAAGAGATTTGTTTCCATCTTTTCCTTTCTTTTCTCATGGGATAGAATCTTTGGGACATGTTAATGAAGACAGTGAAAGATACAGGAAAAAAGGGTAACTAGGGGATTTAGCTCAGTTTACTTGAGAATCTAGAGAAAGAGTGGTTTTGGAGATTAGAGAGGTTAAATTTAAGCTGCCCGTGGTACATCCAGGTGAGCTTCCAGAGGCAGTTGGCGTATAAAAAGATGAAGACTACACTTTTGTTGAAAAAAAAGGCAGAAAAAGAAAAACAGAGACATTGAGATGTAGTTGCTCTAACAAGATAACTTCTGTGTTGCTTTTTAAATGATGCTCTGAGCTAGCAAATTGATCTGCAGTTTGGGGCCCAGGCACTGGAGTCTACTATACCTGCTATAATTTCAGGAATTCTGATTAAAGACAGAAGGCTCTTGGGTGAGGCATGGTCAGTATATGCTCAGCACATCCAGAATGTCCGCATTTTTCCTGTCTCACATTCTTTTTTTTTTTGTCTTTTTCTTTTTTTATCGGTACCAGGGATCGAACTCATGACCACACACTTGCAAGGCAGGTGCTTATGCCGCTGAGCTAAACCTCCAGCCCCTCTCACATTCTACAGGACCGTGTGCGGGGGGCTACACTGTAGAAGAGGGCTCCTGAGTGTGGGACCTTGAACAATCACGTCAGCCTTTTGGTTCAGAAGGAGGCCAGTTACTACATAGATACCCTTGAAAAGACGGCCCTGGGAACGGTCATTGCCTTACTTGGAAGACTGTACAGAAATGTGGGGGCCTTGGAGAGATTTGTGTCCCAGGTCTGCAGAATGTTGGCAATACTTGGTAGCTTGTTAGAAATGCGGAATCTGGCTCCCTAGAACTATTCAACCGGAATCTGCACCTCAGTGAGGCAGTGTTTATTCAGGACATTTGAGAAGCACTGCTCTAGGGTTTTTAGTTTTGTGGCTGAAGTTGGTCTTTTCTCATGACTGAATTATAGCTGCAGATTAAGGCCAAGGAAAGGCATTAGGAAGGTGCATCAGTCCTAAGACTCAGACTAGGTGCACGTCGTATATCACTTCTGCATAAATTCCAGGGGTAAGGTATTAGACGTGTATGGTCACACTACCCATGAAGCAGTGGAACATGTAGCCTAGGTGAGTGTCATTACTGTGGGAACAAAGGTCAGATGAGTTCGGAAGACCGTTTGTGTATCGCATTATCCGTATACATGTTTAGTGGGCCTGAAGTAACAGTGTTTAGAGACTGAAGCCAGGGGTGGATGCGGCTGCCAGAGTACCCGAAGCAGATGCCTCAGTCCCGGCTCCTTTGGTACTTTGGGTTGGATAGTTCTTTGTTGTGGGAAGCTCTGTCCCATATAATTGTAGGAGATTAGCGATAATCTTGGCCTGTACTGGATACTAGAATTCCCTCACAGTGGCAACAAAAAAATGTTTTCAGACATGATTAAACAAATGTTCCTGGGTGAAGGTAGGACAGTGTCGCCCTCAATAAGAAGGTGGCGAGAGAAAAAGCAGTAGTATCGGTGTGTGTGATCAGGGGAAAATGAGGTTCCCAAAAGGGATGTAAAAAAGAGTGGCCAGAGAATTAGGAGAGAAGCAGTAGGGTCTAGGGTAAGAATGTTTCAGAAAGAAAGAAAGTACTAGTCATGAGCACTTTGGATTTAGCAACAAGAAATTAACTGATTGGTATTTTTGCCAGGAACAGTGGGTGAGCGGTGGGACCGGAAGTCTGATCGCAGTGAGCTGCAGAGTAAATGTGGAGAGGAGAGAGATTAGAGACAGTCAGTGAGGGTCGCTGTGTTGAGAAGCTTATTTGTAGGGAGGAGGAGAGCAATAAGGCAGCCCCTGAGAAACAGGGTGATTGCCTGAAGCTGGGGGAGCTAACTTACTTGGATGCGATGGGAGGAGGCCTGCACTGGTGCGCTTTTGGTCACTGTGTACTTCATGAATGAAGACCCACGTAGGCGGAGGTTAAGGTATAGAAGACAGGAAATAGTGGATGATGAAAAGCCTCTGCAAAGGTGGGGCAGATTCTGCCTCAACATAGAAAAACGTTTTTAATAGTTGAAACTGTTCAGCTGTAGAATGAATTATCACTTGGCAGTGAGGGTGCCTTGATGTTAATCCAAGATGAATGAACTCTCTGTTGAAAGAAAACAGTTTAAGAATAAAAAGCTGGGCGTGGTTGTAGGTGTCTCATCCCAGCACTCCGGAGGCCAAGGCAGGAGCCTGGCTGTAGCCTGGAGGCCACCCTGCCAAGTGTGGGGAAACCCTGGCTCAAAAGTCCAAAAAGAAAGAAGGAAGAAAGGAAAGGAGGGAAGGATGGCTAGGAAGGAAGGAGAGAGAAGAAAGGAGAAAGGAAAGAAGGAAGAAAAATGAAAGGAAGGAAAAGAAAACAAGCAAGATGACCTGCGGACTCTGTGGGTGGGAGTGGGTGTTCTTGCATAGGGAAGGGTTTGCACGAGGCAGACCCTCAGTCTCTCTTGCCTTCTGTGCGTTTTATTGCAGTTTGAACTAGTGTTCAATTTCCTCTTAGAGCTTATTAATGTTTAGTGCTCAGGTATGGAACAGCTTAATACTACTTGTTTTTGATGTATGAATCAGGTCCGCCGGGATCTTCATGTGTCAACTGCTGAATTTACGGACTTGAAGCAACAATTGGAAAGAGACTCCGTGGTCTTGAGTTTGCTTAAACAGCTACAAGAGGTTAGTTAACACAGCGGGAACTTCAGTGGTTTCTGGTGGGAGAGTTACTTTTCCTAGCTGGTCTCAATATTCAGTGTGTGTTCCCGGACTAAATGATGGGTTTAAAAAAATTTTTTTTTTCACAAAATAGAAACAAGACATATAAAATAAGATAAAACACCTAATAACTTAGTTTTATTTTTTCAGTTTTCTACTGCTATTGAAGACTATAATTGTGCGTTGGCAGAGAGAAAATATGTCACAGCTGCTCAGCATCTGGAAGAGGTACTAAACGCTTTCTGTAAAGCACACCGACTAGTGCTTTAGAGAATTTGTTTCTAGAGTACTTAGTGTTCTCTGCATTCTTTATCATTATACAAGCATATCCTAATCGCTCTGAATCCAGATGGAACGTTTAACCGTGATTTTGGTTTACTACCAGGCACAGAAATGCTTGAAGCTGTTAAAGTCGCGAAAGTGTTTTGATTTAAAAATGTTGAAGTCTCTCAGCATGGAGCTTACCATACAGAAACAGAATATACTTTACCATCTCGGAGAAGAGTGGCGGAAGCTGATTGTGTGGAAGTTCCCCCCATCAAAAGGTACTGCTGAATTCAGGTGGCCTGCTTTGCTTAGTCTGCCTGAACTGTTTGGGCCTCGGATCGTATTCTAATGCGCTGTTTGTATAAGATCTTACAGTCTGTGTTGAGTTGTCGTTTAAGGAAAAGCTTGGTTCTCACGTTACTGTCCTTCCATCCCTCCTTGGTTCCCTTCCCCGAGGAGGATGATCGGGTGGTGGGGGTCACGTGGGGAGGGTCTGACAGGGGAGAAGTCGCAGTCACTGGCCTCTCACGGGGACAAAGTAAGTGCTGGCTGCAGTTTAAAGGAGAGGTTCATTGTGGTTCAGGTTTCATCCATGGCTGGCTCCAAGGAAGAAATAGAGTGGAGGAAAAGGGGTTCAGCATGGTAGCCGGGAGCAGGAGCCCAGGGGAGCCGGAGCCCAGGGGAGCCGGGGACAAGCATGTACCCTTCAGGTCACCTTTCTCCCACCCCGTGACCTTCCCCCTCTGAGGCGAGTCCAGTCACCTTCCCAGGGCAGAGCCATTTGGGGCACATTTTAGATGGGAACCACAGCAGTAAGATGGTAGCCGGGTGAGCCCACTGACTGCCTCCTCCTCGGTGGAAGCGCTGTCCCCCAGCCCCAATCCCGCAGTCCGTCTTGGCTGGGAAGCCTTCAAGGCTGTAAGCCATTCTGTCCTGCTGAGGAAGGCCGGGTCAGTGGCCGCGAGGGGTTTGACTTAGCTTTTTTCACTTCTTGGGGAAACCATGTTGACAGGATTGAGAAACAAGTTGTTTTAGATGAAGAAGTAGTATTCTGCAGCCCTCACTTGATTCACACTGCTTGGCTGGCGGCTCCTCTGCCCACCTTGACACGAGCTCCTTTGATGTGTTTGCTCTGGGAGTAAAATCTCAGAAGGTTTGTGGAAAGGCCACGTCGTCGGGCACATTTCCCAATACAGGGTCTTGAGATTTAATTCATTTCAAGGGAAACTTCATAACCTCGCTCTGCTCCCTTTCCTAGATCGATTTTAGCCTCTAAATGTGTATGTAGACCAGATATTTTGAAGGAAATCTAGAACACACTAGCTTGTGTTTTTATGTAGACTAAATTAATAAAGATGGCAGGTGTGTTGAGTTCTTTGGTGTAATGCGGTCTGCCTGTTAAACTTGTTGGGCAGGCTGTTCTCTTGGGAACAAATCGGAAAGGGACGGGCACGTAGCTGTTAGAGCACTTGTTCACTTGTTCAGTCCTGAGTTCAATTCCCAGTCTCTCTCACAAACACACACACACACACACACACACACACACACACACACACACACACACACCCCAGAAGAGGAAGAGGAGGCTTATGAAACTGGGAACTCATTAATTCCATACATATTTATTTAGTATTTCTTTTAAGTTCTTTCTTTTGTACAAATCAACAAAGTCATTTTCTTTTAAAAATGTATCTACGGGAGTGTGTGTCATATTTGGGTAGACAAGTACCTAGTAATGGAGCCCCATGTTCAGAAATCTCAGCATGAATGGGCTCTGGGCATCTTCTGTTGCTGATGTAGCTGATTTTTCCCCCCTATTTTTCTCAGATACCAGCAGTTTAGAATTTTGCCTGAAAACGGAGCTTCATTTGTGTACTGAAGAATCCCAGGATGAGAAGGCGCCTACACCACCCATCGCTTCTGTACTTTTGGCGTTTTCTATTCTTGGAGAGCTACATACTAAGCTCAAATCATTTGGTAAAGCATTCTACTTTGTTTAATTTACATGAATTCTCAGAAGGTCCAGTGCCAATGGAATGAGCAAAGATTATGAAATATTCTTTAAGAGTATTAAAGGTGCTGTTTGGCCATACGGTTTATCAAAGGGGATTGGCATAAATATTGCTTTTACTATGGACTTGCATCCTTTCTTTTTTTTTTTTTAACACAAAGTAGTTCCTATTTATTTTTTTTTTTTGTCTTTTTCGTTTTTATTGGTACCAGGGATCGAACTCACGACCGCCTGCTTGCAAGGCAAGTGCTTATGCCGCTGAGCTAAATCCCCAACCCCCCTATTTATTTTTAACAAATAGAGGTACACAGTCTGGAAAACTTCCGTGGAAAAGTGACAGTGCATTATGTCTTGTTTTAGGTATTTTGCTTATAAAGCTTAAGGGTCCTTTTTTTTGGTTTGTTTTTGTGTTTGTGTTTTTTGGTAGCATTTGGGGTTGAACCTAGAGCCTTTCCACTAACCTGCATCCCCAGAACTTTACAATTTTGAAATGTTGAGACAGGATCTTCTTAAGGTGCCCGGGCTGGCTAAACTGTTTTTTGTTTATTTTTTGTTTTTGGGCTTTAAACTTGAAATCTTTTTCTTCCTCCTCTTCCTCCTCCTCCTCCTCTTCCTTTTCTTCCTCCTCTTCTTCCTCTTTTCCTTGCTCTTCCTCCTCTTCTGTCCTCTTCCTCCCCTTTCTCTCCTCTCCTCCTCCTCCTTCTCTTTCTCCTTTTCCTTCTCCTCTTCCTCCTGCTCCTCCTCCCTGTTTTCCTCCCTCCTCCTCCCCCTCATCTTCCTCCTCCTTTTCCTTTTTTTTTGTTTTTGTTTAAATGGTACTGGGGCTTGAACCCAGGGGTTTTCTCCGAGCCACGTCCCCAACCCTTTGAAGAGGGTTCAGCTTAGTGACGCCGTCACTAAATTTCCCCAGACTGGCTTAACCTCTCAGTTCTCTTGCCTCGGCCTCCCAGAGTGCTGGAATTCCTAGGCGTGCACCGGTGCCCAGCTGAAGCTTGTGGTTTGTCTAGTCTTCCACCGCGCTGGGACTACAGGCTGCTCCGTGTCCAGCTTCTAGTGAGTTTTGATGAGTGTTCATGTGACTTTCCAGGTCAGATGCTGCTGCAGTACATCCTTAGGCCTCTGGCCTCTTTCCCGTCCCTCAACGCGGTGATAGAAAGCCCGCCCGGTGCCGTTGTTGTTCGTTTTGAGTCTCTGTTGACTGACCTGGAGCATCCGTCGCCCTCTGAAGTTTTCACAAAGATCCGACTGGTACTGGAGGTGCTCCATAAATATCTTCTGGGTGTGTATCCCCAAACAGTGCTTGTTATGTTTTGGAAGGGTATTTGTGAAAAACGAGTATTATTTTAAGGTAGAAATGCCATAGTGTGAGTGAAGGAGGGATCTGAAGGGAGTTACGCGTTGAATAAAGCAGAACTGACTTCCCGCTTAACCTTTTTTCCCGCCCCTGTGTTGGCAAATTGGGTCACCAGTGCTACCCCTGTGTTTGTAATGCTGTTTTCGTTGAATTCTGTGATGTTCTTCTCTTGCTGGATTTTTTTTTTTTTTTTTTTTTTTGTCTTTTTCCTTTTTACCGGTACCAGGGATCGAACTCACGACTGCCTGCTTGCAAGGCAGGTGCTTTTGCCGCTGAGCTAAATCCCCAGCTCCTCTTGCTGGATTTTTAATAACATAACATTTTGGGAATCTTATATTTTTTATAGACAAGGAGAAATGAACCCTGTGGTGGTTTACATATTCATAGGAAATTCCCCAGTTAGTCTTATCAACTAACTGTATTTAACAGGAATAAACTACATTTCAATTTGGCCTGTTGGTTATATCAGAAACATAGTTTCTGTGTTGCTTTGAATCAATTTTTTTGGGTTATTATGCTATTAAAAATAAAATTTCTTCTAATGTTTTACTTTAACAGTGGTTTTTAGTTTAGTCCACTGTCTTTTTGCTTTCCTTGGTTGTTTTGTTGAGTAGTCCGCCAACATTCTTGCTCTAAAAAAATAATAAAGAATATTGCTGTGGTTTGGAGGTCTTCCTGATATTTACATACTGCTGTAAATAAATCACATAGCAGCGCATGGTGCTTGTAATTGTAGTACTCAGGAGGCTGAGGCAGGAAGTACATGAGTTTAAAGCCATCTGAACTACATAGTGAGACGCTATCTTAAAAAACTTGCTCTTGGGTTGGGGATTTAGCTCAGCGGCATAAGCGCCTGCCTTGCAAGCGTGCAGCAAACAAACAAAAAATAAATAAAAATATTCTTATGTAAAGTAAGGAATGCCTTATATTATTTTGACAGGAGTAGAGAGTTCAAAAGCCTTCTATAAACTGCAGAAATCCAAGGTAGTTTTTCTTGTTTCTGGATTCTTCAGTAAAGCAGAAATGGAATTTATTTTATTTAATTTCATTTTATTTTGTCTTTTTGAGACACAGTTTCATGATGCAGTTCAGGCTGGCCTTGAACTCACAGTGATCCTGTTTCAGCCTCGTGAGTGCTGAGATTACAGGCATGCACCACCACACCCAGCTAGAATTTTACTTTTATTAGATGTAAACAGAGTTGTAAGCAAAGCATCTAAGGATTGAAAGGTGTCAGAGGTGATTAATCCAGGTGTCTCTAATGCTTCAGTCTTCTCTGTCAGCACCATTAGTGAGAAGGAAATCACTTGGTGAGCTGTTCATGCTGCCTCTGGTTCCATCTTGCTTGGGGTAACTAAGTTTCTGGAAGGTCACTGGGGTTTTTTGGCACTGGGGATTGAACTTGCGACGTGTATGCCACTGAGCTAAATCCCTGGCCCAAGGTTACTGCTTTTTAAATCTATTAATTCAATGAGAAGAAGAAAGAAAAAAGAAAAAAAAATGCAACAAAATTTCAAAACACTGTTTTGTTTTTTAAAACTCATCTATCTATACTCAGTACTGTTACCAAAATTTCCATTTTTCATATTTAATCTTTCAGAGTAGTTATTTAAAAAGTTTGTCAGAATGATTGCCCTGTAATGTCTGTTCTATTGATACTAATTTTAGTATGTGGAATCATTCAAAACAAATCTGAATTTTTACCCCGCGGTTGATGGGTTTGCAGATTCTTCACAGTGGCTGTTTTTTTGGCCTCTTACTACCAATATAAACGGTCTTAGTTTTTCCAGGGACAGAATCTGAACTTCCCCGTGTCTCGTTGCTCTTCGGGTGTTTGCAGGTTTGGGTTTTTGAAGCCTGTCCCGCAGGTGACCTTTGCAGCGTGCCTCCCAGGGCGTTTTCCGGGGTGCAGGCTCTTTCGGGTCCTCCTCTTCTTACTAAGACACCATCCCACAGGGTCAGGGCTCTGTCCTCACAACCTTGTTGAAAGGTCCCGTTTCCAAGTTCGGTCATATTGGAAGTTAGGCTTTCAAAATGTGAGTCTTAGGGCGAGTCTAACACAATTCAGCATTTGGAAGTCTTTATGTGTTTGTATATAATGCACTCACACATGCGTGCACAATCTTGTTTGTGCATAGTGCAGAATGATTAGTGGAACATGAAGTACATTGCCACTTTTTATCTTAAGTATCTGCCAGGCATTTTTTTATTTCTAGAAAATTTTGAAGTGAAAAATAACATTGTAATAAGTTTGCAGAACTCTTGCAGACTCAACTAACAAACACTGGAAAAGGACACAGGGTAATTGTGTTTATTTTCTGTTTGAACAGTTGCATGAACCAAGGGTAACTTATATTATTTGCAAGTATCTAAACGGAATGGGATTTATCAATCGTATGCATTATACTTCATAAAGTCCATTTCAGAAAAAAATACATATATGTCTTGCAGTGAAGTAGTAATCATCAAAATCTTATTTTATAATTCTAATAAATCTAGACTTTTCTTTTTTTAAATTTTATTTTAAAGACAAGAATTTCAAAACAAGATAATAATAGAGTAACAATGGTTAATATGATGCATATTGTTATCTTTAAATTAGTTACTCAGAGTCCAAGAGGCCGGCATTTAATTGTTCAAACAATATTAGCACAAACCTTTCTTTTCAATGAACTAAGAGAAATTAGTAATATAATGATCTTAACTATCTTTTATTTACTTATATAATAATGATCATAATAATTACTATTATTTTGCTTTTCCCTTCCTTCTTTGCTTCATTCCCCATCCCAGTTTCTCTTTCATTTTGAAGCTTCTTTCTGTTTTATAATATCTGTTGTACATTTTGGATCTTATTTATTCCTTAAGCTTCTCATACTGGGGAGATAGTACAATGTTTACACGTGTGTCTGGTTTATTTCACTCGAGTATGGTCTCTAGTTGCATTTATTTACCTGTAAAAGTCTTCAGTTTATCCTTCTTTATGACTGAGTAGTACTCCATTATATAAGAAGACCACATCTTTTTTATCTATTCCTCAGTTGATGGGCATTCAGGTTGTTTCCAAGATCTTGCTATCACAAATTGTGCACATTGGACTGGCGATTTAACTCAGCCGCTTAAGCACCTGCCTTGCAAATGCAAGGTCGTGAGTTCAGACCCTGGTGCCAAAAAACAAAAACAAAAAAACCCCAAAAAACTAATTGTGTACTTACATTACTGTGGTACAGTGTTTTTAGTTCTAGGAAGACACCCAGAAGGGGAATAGCTGGCTCAAATGGGACCTCCAATCCTAGTTTTTTGAGGAACTTCCCACTGATTTCTATCTATGTTCCCACCAACAGTGGAGAAGGCTCCTTTTCACCCACAGACCTCCAGCATTTGTTATTGGTTGATGTCTTGATAATAGATAGCCATTCTTTCCGAGGTGAGATGGAATCTCAGTGTTGTTTTAATTAGCATCTGTCAAATTACCAGTGATGTTGGATATTTTTTCATTTATTTATTTGCTGTTTGTATTTCTTCTTCTGAGACGTGTGTTCATCTCAGATGCCCATTTTTGGATTGGGTCTTTAAATTTGGGAGATATGATTTGTTTGAGTTCTTTATTTGTTCTTGAAGGTAATCCTTTGTCTGAGGAAGAGGCGACAAATATTTTCTCCCACATTGTGTGTTGTCTCTTCACTCTTAGTGGTCTCTTGCTATACAAAAGCTTTTAAATCAGATGAGACCTCAGTTGACTCTTTGTAATAGTTCCTGAGCAATCGAGATTTTATTAATAGTCTTTGCTTACACGAGTGTCTTCAAGCAGGTTCTATCTTCCAGCAGATTTAATGTTTCTGTTTTAATATTTAGTTCTTTGATCCATTCCAATTTTAACTTAGTATGTGGTGAAAGATATGGATCCAGTTTTATTCTTTAGCATGTGCAGAGTTAATTTTTCCGGCACCATTTATTAACGAGGCAGTCTTTTTTCCAGTGAATGTATTGGGTACCTTTGTGAAAGATAAGGTAGCTTAGTATGTCTGAAGTTTTTTCTGCATCTTCTAACCTATTCCATTGATCTTCGGGACTTTGTTTAAATTTATTTGCCAGTACTACAGTGTTTTTATCACGGTAGCTTTGTAGTATAATTTCAGATCAGGGATTGTGATGCTTCCTGGCTTACCTTTGTTGCCCCAAATTATCTTTGCTATTCTAGGTCTCTTTTGGTTCCAGATGAATTTTAAGATATATGTGAGATATCTCTAAATCTGTGTAATAAGCTGTTGGGATTTTGATTGAAACTGCATTATATCCGTAGTAGTTTTGGAAGTATGGCCATTTTTGCTCTGTTGGTTCTTCATACCCAAAAGCATGGATATTGCTCCATTTTCTAATATCCTCTTCAATCTCCTTTTTCAGAGTACTAGAGTTTCCATGTGAAGTCTTTTATGTCCTTTGTTAGATTGATTCCTAGGAATTTCATTTTTTGGGTGCTATTGTGAAAGGTGTTTTTTCCGTGATTTTTTCCTGATTTCTCTCTCAGTGAGTTTGTGATTTGTATACAGGAAGGCTACTGCTTTTTGAGTGTTCATTTTGTATCCAGTTACGCTACTGAACTTGCTTATTAAATCTGCCAGTTTTTTAGTGGAGTTTTCTTCTATGTAGAATATCATGTCATCTGCAAATAATGATAGTTTAACTTCTTTCTATCTTTATTCATTTTATTTCTTTCTCTTGTCTGATTGCTTTTGCTAAAGTTTCTAGGACTATGTTGAGACTACACATCCTTCTCTTGTTCCTGATTTTAGGGTGAAAGCTTTTAGTTTTCCATTTAGTGTGATATTGGCTATTGATTTGTCATAGATAGACTTTATCAGATTGAGATAAAAACCATCGATTCCAATTTTCTGAAGGGTTTTTTTAAATCATAAATGGGTGATGAACTTTGTCAAAAGCTTTTTCTGCATGTATTTGCCTGTGATTTTCTTCCTTAGTTGCATCCTTCTCTGGTTTGGTATCAGGGTAAATGCTGGCTTCCAGGAATGAATCTGGGAATATTGGTTTCCTTTCCATTTTGTTGAAGAGTTTCTTTAGAAGTCTGCAGTGAATCCATCAGGGCCTGTGCTTTTCTTTGTTGGTAGTTTTTTAATTACATCTTCCATTTCATTGATTAATATTGGTCTGTTTAGGATTTTTATATCTTCTTGACTCAGCTTTGGTGATGCATGTGTATCCAGGGTTCTATTCATTTCTTCTGCATTTTCCATCTTATTAGAATACAAGTATAGTTGATCTGAATTTCTGCAGAGTCTGTTGTGATTTTACCTTTCTCATTTCTTTTTTTTTTTTTTTTGTCTTTTTCCTTTTTATCGGTACCAGGGATCGAACTCACGACTGCCTGCTTGCAAGGCAGGTGCTTATGCCGCTGAGCTAAATCCCCAGCCCCACCTTTCTCATTTCTAATTGCATGGATTTGATTCTTTTCTTTCCTTTTTAATAAGGTTGGATAAAGTTTTGTTGATTTTATTTACTTTTTCTTTTTTTTTTTTGTCTTTTTCCTTTTTATCGGTATCAGGGATCGAACTCACGACTGCCTGCTTGCAAGGCAGGCGCTTATGCCGCTGAGCTAAATCCCCAGCCCCAGATTTTATTTACTTTTTCAAAGAACCAAGTCTTTGAGTCACTGATTCTCTGTGTTGTTTCCTTAGTCTCCAGTGTGTTAATTTCTGCTCTGAACTTTGTAATTTCCTCCCTCATAAGAGCTTTTGGCTTGCTTGCTCTTCTTTTTCTACAAGTTTTAGTTCACCATTAAGCTGTTTATATGCACTTGTACTGTTTTCTGCTATGGGTATTTACTCCTATAAATTTCCCTCTAAGGACTGCTTTCATTGTGTCCCAATGGTTCCAGTGTGTTGTAGTGTTGTTATTCAGTTGTAAAAACTGTCTTAATTTCTTCTTCTTTTTTGTTTTTTGGTACTGGGGATTGAACTCACGACCGTGCGCTTGCCAGGCAGGCGCTTATACTGCTGAGTTAAATCCCTGGCCCTTAATTTCTTCTTTAATTTCATCTGGACCCATTGGTTGTTCAGGAGGCAGCTATTTAATTTCCGTATGTTCATGAAGTTCTTGTGGTTTCTTTTGCCATTGATTTCCAGTTTCATTGTACTATGATCTGATAATATGCATGGGGTAACTTCAATTCCTTTGCATTTATTTAAGCATGTTCTATGAGCTGTTATGTGGTCTGTTGTGGAGAATGTCCCATGTGCAGCTGAGAAGAATGCGTGTACTGATGTGGAGTGGCACACTCTGTAGACATCTACTAAGTCCTTTTGTTCAAAAGTTGGATTCAGGTCTACTATTTCTTTTTGTACTGAGAATTGAACTCATGACCTTGTGCTTGCCGGACAGGTGCTGTGCCACAGAGCGATATCCCCAGCCAGTGCTAATATCTCATTGTTGATTTTTGTCTGATTGACCTTTCTTTTTATGACAGTGGGATATTGAGATCCCACAATAAAATTGTATTAGTGCTTATTTGATTTTTCATGCCCATTAATATTTATTTTGCATAGCTGATGCACTGGTGTTTGTTGCATATATATTTATGATTGTTAGCTCTTACTCTCAGATGGATTCCCTTTACAAGGATATAATGACCTTTTTTTTATCTCTCTTAATCAGTCTTGGCTGAAATTCACTTTGTTTGCAAATAAAATAGCTCCCCTTGCTTTTTTCTGGGTTCCTGTCACATGGAGTATTGTTTTCCATCCTTTCACTTTCCGTCTGTGTATTTCTTGTGAATTAAGTGTGTTTCTTGTGTGCAGCCTATTGTTGGGTTGTGCTTCTTGGTGTATTCTGCTCTTCTGTGTCCTTTGGTGGTGCAGGCTGGCCTCGTACTCACAGCAATCCGCTGAGCCACATTCCCGCCATTCTTATTTTGAATTTGAGACGGTCTGGTTGTTGTCCATGCAGTTCCTGTCTGCGCCTTCAGAGTAGGTGGGGCTGCAGACATGTGCCACTGTGTTCAACCCGCTATTTTTCCTTTATTATTTCATTGTTGCTACTAGTTTTTGCGTTAACCTTGTTTTGGCGTGAGTAGAATTCCTCGACTTCAATTTAGAAAATCTGCCCAGTTAGTGTCTTAAATTAGAAAAATAATCACCTAGTGAACTTTTTTTCCCCTTTGGAGACAGGATCTCTCCATGTGACCCAGGCTAGCCTTGAACTTAATGTGACCCTCCTGCCTCAGTCTCCTCTGAGTGCTGGGATTATAGCGATGTGCTACCACGGCTGGGTTAAGCCCTTCATTTAACTACCAATTACAATTTTTATGTAAATATCACTGTAAACTGTGGTGTATGCACAAATGTTAACATACACATAATGCGGATACAGTATCATGGAAAAGGTATTGGACTGAGATGTCTCCGTGGACACTGACCGGGTGAGCAGTGCGGTGAGTGACATGGCAGAAGCGACTTTCCTGCCTGAGGCCTGGCGGTGCAGCAGTAACTTGGTGAGGTGGTGGTTTCAGGAAACTGTCCTCGCCAGCAGTGGAGCTCTGTGTGACAAGACGTTTCTTTTTTTTGGCCCTGGGGATTGAACTCATGACCTCGTGCCTACCAGGCAGGTGTTTAAGCCACTGAGCTAAATCTCCAGCTTCCTTCTTTTGATTTAAAAGGTTTTTTTTAATTTTTAATTTTTATTTTTTGTACGGGGGATTGAACTCATAACCTCACACTTGCCAGGTAGGCATGTAAGCCACTGAGCTAAATCCCAGCCCTAAAAGTTTTTATTTTAAAGTAGCCTTATAAAGACATGTACCCTTCACCTGATCTTCCGCATTGCTGACGTCTTGTATAACGGATGCCCAGGCTAGCCTTGAACTTACTGCGATCCTCGAAACCAGGAAATTTACATCAGTAAAGTTCAGAGCTGATTTGGGTTTCACATGTATGCATGCATGTGTGTGTGCATGTAGTTTTATCACACGTGTAGATGCTTGTAACCATTCCTACAGTCAAGATACAGACTGTTACCACAAAGCTTGTGATTTCTCTTTACAGCCATACACCCCTGCTTCCTTTTGTGTGTGTGTGTGTTTTTGAGACAGGGTCTTGTTGTGTGGTTCAGGCTGGCCTTTGGCTCACTTTGTAGCCCAGGCTGGTCTTGAACTTGCAACGATCTGCCTGCCTCAGCCTCCTGAGTGCTGGGATTACAGGAGTGCGCAGCCACACCCAGCCCTATTAGAGTTTTGATTACATTATTTTATTAGATGGGATGCAGACCTCAACTGTAAACACTGGAAGGTATCTGAAATAGTATAGTCAGCTATTTTTAAGACTCAACCCTGGAATCTTTGTGAATGAGAACAAAATTCCAAATAGGTGGTTCCCTTTATGGTTCTTACTCTCCATTGGCCATTGGTTCTTAACTATTATTAGTTTATTAAGAGGATATTCTAAATATACAGTGTTCTCAATGTGTTTAAAAAAGATATTTTAGAGAGGAGGCATTGGAATATTCTTTGATAGATGAGATATTATGTATTATTTTTACTTTTATTTGTTTTCGAGACAGGTTCTCACTGTGTAGTTCAGGCTGGCCTTGGACTCATTTGGTACCCTAAACTGGCCTTGAACTCACAGCGGTCCTCCTGCCTCAACCTCCTGAGTGCTGGGATTCCAGGCATGTGCCACCATGCCCTGAACATACTAGGCTTTAGTGTAAAGTGTTTATTGTTATTTTACTTAAATATTTAGAGTCCACGCAGAGATGGAAAAAGTGTTTATTCATTATGAAGTGAGATTTTATTCTGAGCTGGTTTTAATGGCATGTGTAGACCTTAGCACGTCAGCTAATCAGGTCAGAGGCTTCACAGCAGATTATTAGCATGTAGCTGACTTAATTCCTCATCGAGAATGGTCAGTTACGTGGTTCACATGATTCAGTGGAGCTGTGAAAATAAAATAATCATAATTCTGTGTCGTGCCTGGTCCCACACAGTCTGCTGGAATAATTATGGATTTATCTGTGCTGTTTTCTTTCTCATCGTCCCCAAACTGAAAAGTCCTAGAAAACCAGGGAATTTGAGAATCTGCCAGCGCTGGACATGGCGTCCTGTTTAAAGGTTTTTCTTCTGATTTCAGATTTGCCTCTTGACACTGATGTGGAGAATGAGAACTCGTCTAAAATCCCGCTGTCCGAGGTGCTCGGCAGCGTGATCTGGGAGGACTTGTCCGAGTGCCTCATCAAGAACTGTTTGGTTTACTCCATCCCCGCGAGCAGCAGCAAGCTGCAGCAGTACACGGAGGTAAGGGGGGCGGCACGGAGGGGAGCGCGCAGAGGTGAGGGGCGGCAGGGCACGGAGGGGCGGAGGCGCTGGCGATCCTGGTGCTCTTTTAATTTTTTCTTGCAGATCTTTTGCCCTTTAGTTACAGCTTGTAAAATTATAAATAAGAAGTAGAAACAGACTCTCTGATTTCTCTTGTGGCTTCCTGACTCCCTGCGGGAAGTATATGAAGTGTATTTTCTCTATTCTTTTATCCTTGATCAACTATAGTAGCTATTATGTGATTTCTTTTTTTTTTTTTTTGCTTATTTTTTAGTACTTTCTTGAATACTAAAATCAGTATGTACATTTTTAAGTTATTTGCGCCTTTACCAGAGTCAGCAATTTTTGTTGCAGATACTCTTCCTAATAAAACTAACCCTGGAATAGCGTGTGTGGTGATTTAGTCTAAGATCTAAGTATCCATTTTGGTTCTTGTTCTTTTCTGTACATTGCATTTGAAATTTTAACTTTAAATGGAATATATGGACAACTAACCTTTTGTATCCATCGATCTAGCATTTTTGGTTTCAACCAGCTGCAGACTGAAAATATTCAGAAAAATATTTGTATTTCTATTGTAAATATTTTTCTGTCTTAGTATTCATTAAGCCATATAGCACAAGCAACTATTTATACAGCATTTACAGTACATTAAGTATCATGAGTAAAGAAAGGTTATGGCGGGTGTGTGTAGGTTGTCTGCAAATATTACACTTTTTATGTTTTGAGCATCCATAGATTTTAGAATCTGAGGAGGACCTGGTTCCGATCCCTTACACATACTGAAAGGTGATAGTATATAATTCTTTTAAAAAATATTTTGCTCTTTCAGATCATAGAGTCCACTGAAGAATTTGAAAATGCCCTAAAGGCAATGAGGTTTCTAAAAGGAGACACTACTGATTTGCTGAAATATGCTCGTAATATCAACTCTCATTTCGCTACTAAGAAGTGCCAAGATGTGATTGTGGCAGCCAGAACCCTAATGACCTCCGAGATTCACAACACTGTGAAGGTAACGGGTTAGCGCACTGTGTCGAGGAAGCAGCTCGTGTTTGAGACATACAGTGAAGAAGAAGGGGGCTGACAGTCTGGAGAGCAGGTTACTGACCTCCTGACCGCTGGCCCTGGCCTCTTGGAAGTGGGCTTTCTGGGCGCATTGGCTCTGCCTGTAACCCTGGCGACTCTAGAGGCCAGGCCACAGAGATGGTCAGTTTGAGTTTAGGCTGGCAGTGTAGGAAGATGCTCTCAAATACGAGCAGCTTCAGAAGGGCCAGGCTGCAGCTCAGCTCTAGAACACTCGTTATACGATGAGGCCTTGAAGCCAATCTCAAAAGAAAATAAAAGAAAAGAAAAGTGATCCTGATGTTTATGTCTTCCATTGGGTATTGTGAGATCTGTCAGTTACTGGACTTGAAAGCATAGTATGAATTCTAGAAATTTACAGAAATGTAATAGAATTAAAATTACATACTTTTTTTCCCCTCCGAGACAGGGTCTTGTTACGTAGTTCACACTGGCCTTGAACTTTGTATGTAGAGCAGGCTGACCTTGCCACAATCCTCCTGCCTCAGCCTCCAGTGCTGGGATTACAGGTGTGCGCCACCACACCCAGTTTACATTTAAAATTAGACAGTCAATTGTTTTCATCTTTACTTTTTGAGCTTTTAGTACACAATGTCGTGATATATAAACCTGTACTTTATAGAATCCAGAGTGTATTGTAGTGTACAAGTATTGACTTAATCTTACAGGCTAATAGAGGGACTGGCTTTGAAATTAAAATAATAGCTAAACAAAAAGATCGGGTATACATAATTACTTGCAAGGATAGTAGATAGTAATACTGAGGGTCATTTACTCCTTTGACCTTAGACAATTTATTTTTATATCTTGCATACATAAAATAATAGTTGGTAAATACAAGATATTACTTGAAGTAAAGCAGTGTCCCCTTAACAGAAGGTTCTCCAGGCCTTTTTATGCTGTCACAGAAGGAACTGGCTTCTTTCTTAACCCCTTTTTCTGCCATGTCCTGTTTTCTTCATGTTACTGTATCCATTTCAACAAAATACTTAATTAGTTGTTTGAAGTATACAGATACTAGCACATTTTGAGGTGATTTTGAATTATTATGAGAATGGATATTCAGTCCCATAAATACAGTTCATGGGTGGTTTCTTTGAACATAAATATCACATTTCTTCTTTATCAAACTATTTTTTGGTAGTTAGGCTAGCCTCGCACTCACTATGTAGTCGAGGCTGGCCTCAAACTCACCGCGGTCCTCCTGTCTCAGCCTCCTGAGTGCTGGGATTACAGATGTGCACATCGCGCATGGCAACTTAATGATAGCACCCTTCTTTCCAAAAACCAGTGGCTCCCTGTCTCATTCAGAGGATGACCCAGTGGCCTTCCAGCGGCCTGCAAGGCCTGTGCCCTGTGTCCTGTCACCTCCCCTCTCCTGTCGCGACCTGTCACTCTTCTCGAGGTCCCGGGACTGACTGCTGACCCTGGAGTGGCCTTGGGACGTGTGGCTATAAACACCCACAGGACTTACCGTATTAAAGTGCTTCCTGACCACTTTTAAGAAAGTTGCTCTCTCCCTTTTCCTTCTTTATTATTCTTTAGAGTACCAAACAGCATTTTATATGAATTATTTATTTACTTTTTGCACTGTAAGAAGTAAGCTCCCTGCAGAGCAGGGTCTTTGCTTTGTTCCCTGACTTCTTCTGGGCTGTGTCCAGCACCTAGAAAATCCCGGCACATCCTCCTCTGTATTTACTGCGCAGCTGGTTGGAAACCTTGGTAAACGGATTAATCCATATCTCAGTTACCTCTGTGATAGTTCCTTGATGTAAACAGTGTTATTGCTGAATAGCTCTGGAACTCTGGGCTTAGTCCCTTTTCTACACAGTACTGGGGATTACACCCAGGGCCTTTGCATTACGCTACATCCTAGCCTTTTTTGTTCTGAGACAGAGTCTTGCTGGATTTCCTAACGGACTCAAATTTATGTTCCTCCTGTCTCGGCCTCCCAGAGTCCTGGGATTGTGTCCCTGTGTTGGCAAGCCTGTGTGTAGTGTAACCTTTTATCTGATGGAAGTTTGTTTCCTTCTTCTGGGAGATACTGACCTAGATAACCTCTGAGCTCCCCACTCAGTTCTGCTTTTTGTCCCGAGGACTGAAATCCTCATGCAGCTTCCTTTTGGTCCGGTTTCTCAGGAGCAGTATGGTTGACATTTTAGGCCAGATAATTCGTGCCGTGTGGGCTATCATGTGGGATGTTCGTTTAGCAGCATCCTTGACCTCTGTTGTCAGTTTGTTGGATGGCGGTGCTCCCTTCTCTAATTGTGACAACTAGAAGTAAAGCCAGACATGGCTACAGGGTCCTGGTTGAAGGTGACTGCTCTGGATTCTAACCTGTTCTTTCTCCTGGCATCCAGGTCCTGGAATGGGACCTGCTAACCTGCTCACCTTTGAAAAGCTCTTTTTTTCTAAAAACCATTTTTAACCTAATTACTTTCCATAAATTCTAAAAGATCTAAATTCTAAAACATTTTCCTATATGACTATTTTCTCAAATTTGTGGTTTGTTGTTTTTATAGTTTTGGGTTGTGAAATAATTTAGTAATGGCACTCTTGTTTGTTAAACATCAAACTAAAAACTTTAGTCTGATTACAATAGGATACTGTGTTTTAAAGGCAGCACAGCGTGGCAGGGGGTGGAGCTCAGGGGCAGGGCACCCGCCTGGGAAGTGTGAGGTCCTGGGTTTGATTCGCGTACCAAAAAACAACAACAAAAAAATAAAAACAAGTACAAAAAACCTCACACAACGTTTCCAAGACCTGTATGGCTAGCAGGCAAACAGCATAGTGTTTTTCTTAAGTGACAGCTTTCCTGTCCAGCCTTTCAGGGCCACACAGCCATTGCTCCCAGCAGTACTGGGAGCGGGCTGTGAGGTCCTGATTAGTTCGAGACGACCACTGCTGAAGATGTTTTGCAGTGCTCGGAGTCTTCCCTCATGAGGGGCAGTTTTTAAATTCTTGGATTTAGAAATCAAGAATAGTGTGTGCTTTATACTACCAACCGAAGCACATGAAGAGCATGAACCCAAAGCCCCAGAGAAACCCTCGGGGGACCTGAGACCTGGAATATGTCCAGGCCTGACTTCTGCAACATCACAGAAGAAGGAGAAGCTACTAAAAAGTAGCAACTGAAGTAGCTCCATAGTGAGCCCTGTTCATATGGCTAAAAACTAGGTATTTTTTCCCAAAGATAACATTATTTATAGCCTTAGTGCCAATAGAGCAGTTCTTCATTTTATTATTATTACTATTATTTTTGAGACAGGGTTTTAGTGTATTGCTCAGGCTGGCAGCAGTCTCCTGCCTTGGCCTCCCAAGTGCTGCAATTACAGGTGTGTGTCACCATATCTGGCCAAGAGAGCAGTCCTGTAGTGTAACAAATGGCTGAGGTACGTAAGTCGAAAGTTAATCTTTCTCTGTCCCCTTTCTGTGCCTTCCTGTCTTCTCCGCTCTTTTCCCATCTCCCTCTTCCTCCTCCTCTTTCTGTATTACTGAGGGTTGAGCCCAGGGTCTCATGCATTCTGGGAAAGGGCTCTAGCACTAAGTTGCACCCTCAGTCCTTGGAATAATTTCTTTTTATTTATTTATTTAGTCTTTCTGACCCAGGGTCTCACTGCCGTTCAGCCTTGAGCTCACTTTTTAGCCCACACTGGTCTCAAACTTTCAACAATCCTTTTGCCTAAGCTTCTTGAGTGCTGGGATCCTTTTCATAATTTTATTTTGAGATAGAGTCTCTGTAAGCTGCCTGGAATGACCTTAAATTTGAGATCTTTCTGTCTCAGCCTCAGTAACTAGGATTACAGACATGCCACTATATTTGGTTAATAGACTTTTCTTCTTAATTTTATTTTGGGGGGAGGGGTGCTTTAAACAATTTATTTAACTGAAATGCCATACACTGACTTGCATTACCTTTGATACATCTTTCCCTTGTGATGATTTAGAGGATCTTCAGGCCAATGTAAATACTTCGTAAATGTTTGGCCATTGGGTACACAGCTGCACAAATATCAGCAGTATCTGTCAGCAGGAAGAATGCTGGACAGTAAAGACCTGACACAGTTAACTAGCTGCAGAGAGACTGCTCCAGAAGTTTGTTCCTGTGGTGTAAAGACAACACACACCTCCTGAAGTAAGAAAACCATCCTCACAACACAGGACGATTCTTTACTTTGAAGCGGGGCCTGGAGCTCTGGCCATTACTCAGGTGCTGAATGGCAGTGCTGCGGCCCGCCTAGGCCGTGATTCACAGGGAGCAGCTTCCAGCAGGTCAGGCTCCTTCTCCCTCTGGGCCTGCCAGGTTAGCGCTTTGGTTGAACCCACGTACCTTTCCCTGTGGCTTCCTTTTTTTTCCTGATCATTTTCCTTGACACATTTCAGGAAGCTGTCTCCACTTGGAGTGTTTAATGTGCCCAACATGCCCATTAATCTTTTTGGCAACCATCATGCCCTTAATTTGCTTGTTTACATCACTGCCAGCAGCACGCAGGGTAGCACTATAGATTCGTCCAGTTTTGCCATGGTGACTTTCGTGTGGCGTTCTGTTTTGAACAGTACCCATTCCTTTTGTACACTCGCATGTATGTGGCCAGAGAACTGCCCCAAGTTTTCTAACAGGCCTAGAGAACATATATGGGCTGCTTTCCTTGTTCCCTTTGTGTTCGTCATTTGGGCCAATTACTGGAAGGTGGTTCTGGTTGAAAGTCTAGGGTTCTCTTCTTATAAGAAAAAAAAGTTAAAATACAAACTACAGTAGCTCAGAGACAAATCTCTATGCTAAACCATGTAAAACTTAAGGCTTTGACTTGGTACATACCACTGTGAAGTTACGTTGGAACACAAGCAATTAACAAATCTGGGTCCAGTCCAAACAAGAAACGCTACGGATCCTTACATTCAGCTTCATTCATTTAGTCGCTGGTTCTGAACTCACTGTAACCCAGGCCGGCCTCAGATTCACAGCGACCTTCCTGCCTCCGCCTTTGGGTGCTGGGATTATGGGAGTACGCCACCACCCCTGGCTGGACTTGGGACATTTTCTGTCCTGTGCAGAGCAGAGCTCTTTATTCTTGCAGTGAGGGGAGGCGTCTTGCTCCCTCTGCCCGCTTAACTCTTTCTCTTGCCCTTGCTTTTTTATTTTGGTCCCTAAAGCATCTTGAAAACGCAAAGTTTAAAAGCCATTATTATGTAACTTATTCATTGGTTAAGTGATTTTGTTAAAAGTTAGTTTTAAAAAGTCACTGTTTTCAGACATAACTGCCTGGTGTTCTTTCATTTAGTCCCACAAAAGTCTAGGAAAGTTCATTCTACATAAATTTTAGGGAGAATATTTTGATTTGGGTTTGGAGGTTTTTTTATTTGTTTTTGATACAGGGACTCAGGGTGTTGAAGGCTGGCCTCGAACTCACCAGTCTTCCTGCTTCAGCCTCTGGAATGCTGGGATGCCAGGCGTGTGACACCATGCCTGCCAATTTTTTTTAAGAGGTCACTATTCCAGTTTGAGCAGGTTTTCTCTTAGACTAAGACTGCTATAGAATAATTTGTTCGATAATTACAAAAGATTATTAAAGGAACAAAAAATTACACTGGTCTGAGGAATCAAATGGTCTAAAAAGATGATTTTGAAGGTCTTTTCATTCATATGAAATCTTGGACAAGCTACACTGCTTTGCTGTTTCGAAGATTATGAGCTTTTGAAGGAGCTTCCCAGTAAAGGGAATTGCTTGTTTCTTATAATATGCTCTTACCTAAGACTGAGCTGTCATTAAGATAAAGCCGTGTCTACTCAGTTCTTTGAATTACTCTGTAGAACCACACCTGTAGCATCATGAATGCAGCCGTTGTCTCATACCCTGCTGTGTGCTTCCATCTGCATTATCCTGAAAGCGATGCTATTCTGTGTTTGCATCTTAGATTGTTCCTGATTCTAAGATAAAAGTCGCAGACTTGCCCAGTCCTGGCGAAGATGACAAGCTAGCAGTGCAGAAGGTGTCTACAGCTCTGTACGATGAAGCAGTGAGCTTACAGCCTGGCAGCACGTTGGACCAACATTCCTTTTCTTTGCCCGCGTGCCGTATCAGTGAATCAGTGAAGAAATTGATGGAGCTTGCCTATCAGACTTTGCTAGAAGCAACAACCAGTAGTGATCAGTGGTATGAACTCTGAGTTGTCTGAAAATGCCAGTGGCTCAGTTAAATGTTTTATCTGGCTAGGTACTTATTTAGAAAATCATCTGGAATTCTTTGGGTTTTCTTATCCTATAGCTAATATTTCTTTCTCAGGAGACAGTGCACAGAAATATCTATTGATCTCTTATTGATAACAGCATACAGTTGTTAGAGCAAAATACAAGAAATACTGTAGATTTACCGTACTTAATTTTTTTTTTATTTTAAAGAGCATAAAGTAAAAAAGCAAAACAAAACAGAACAGAACAAAGCAGAGCAGAGTAAAACAATTCAGATAACACAGGATTTCAGAACAAGACAGCAGGAAATCAGCAGTGGCTGCCATAATGTCCCTTGTTTTCTTCCAAATAGTTGTCCATCTCTTCACACACAATTAGTTAATACACATCAAAATAGTATAAAAGCAATCAGAACCCAAGAATGAGAGCCTTAAGGGCTCAGGACCAGACAATAATGGCTACCACAATGTCTCCTGTTTCCTTTAAAATAGCTGTCCAGACCTTCATACATACTGAAGTAAAATAAATTGAAAACAGACTAAAACCAGTCAAAACCAAGAATATAAGCATTATTGGACTCTGAAACAAAATGATAGGAAATCATCAGTGGCTACCATGATGTCTTGTTTTCTTCAATGTAGTTTTTTTATACTATCACACATAATAAAATCAACTCATAAATTCTTTAGGTGAAGTTCTAGGCATATATTAAGATATATCTATATATATATATATATATCTGTCTTTTGTGTTTTAGAGGGAAAAGCAAAGCAACAAATAACTATGACAGAGAGGCCAAAGCAATAATGTAGGCTTTCAAAACAGGGTGGTAGGAACATAACAAATTTTAGTGTTTTGCATAGTTTTCTTCAAAAGTCTTCCTTGAATTACCAGATACAGTCATGCAAAGTTGATCTGATCCTATGAATGTTAACTGTTTTGTTCTAAGCACTAATAGAATTAGTAGTACAATCATCTTAGTAATCTTAAGTGTATATATACAAATTTATCTTACTTCTTTTTCTTCCTTTCTCCTTTTCCGTGTCTGTTTTTTCTCTTTAAGCAAGTTTCATAATATTCATTGAAAAGTTTTTTTTTTGGCACTGGGGATCGAACTCACAACCTTGTGCTTGCCAGGCAGACACTAAATTCCCCAGGCCTCATTGAAGATTGTGTATCTTTCTTACTCTTTCAGTTTCTTACAGTAGGGAGACAGTATGATATTTACACAGTGAGTCTGATTTATTTCACTTATGAGTGTGGGCTCAAGTTGCTCCAATTTACCCATAAAAGCTTCAGTGTGGTCTTTCATTATAGCTGAGTAGTATTCTGTTGTATCAAAATACCATATCTTTTTTATCCATTCATGTGGGTTGTTTCCAAGATTTAGCTATTACAAATTGTGCTGCTGTAAACATGGGTGCACATATATCACTGTGCTATGATGTTTTTGGTTCTTCTGGGAATATGTCCAGAAGTAGAATAGCTGGTCAAATGGGATCTCCAATCCCAGCTTTGAAGGAACCTCCACACTGACCTCCACAGTGGTTGCTCAGTCTGTACTCCCACCAACAGTACAGAAGAGTTCGTTTTCCCTCCGCGGCCTCTCCAGCATTTGTTATTGGTGGTTTTCTTCATCCTGGCCATTCTTTCTGGAGTGAGATGGAATGTCAGTGTGGTCTTAATTTGCATTTCTCTAATGACCAATGGTGCTGAACATCTTTCGTGTATTTATTTGCCATTTGTATTTCTTTAGCTGAGAACTGTGTATTCATCTCAGATGCCCATTTTTGGATCGGGTCTTTGAATTTTGGGGATCTGATTTTTTTTTTAATCTTCATATGTTCTAGATAGAAGTCCTTTGTGTGAGGGACAGTTGACTAAGATTTTTTCCCCCCCATTTCATGGGTTTTCTTTTCACTCTGTTAGAGATTTCTTTTGACATGCAAAAACTTTTTAGTAAGACAAGATCCCAGTTGTTGATTCTGGGAATTATTTCCTGTGTAGTTTGATTTTTGTTCATGAATTCTCTGTTGACCCCTGTCTTCAAGATTTCTGCCTACTTTGTCTTCCAGCAGATTTAGTGCTTCTTTTTCAATATTTAGACCTTTGATCCATTTTGACTTTAGTTGAGTGCATGGTGATAATTTTTATTTTTTACTTTTTACTATAAAAATTGAATCAAGAAAGTTTATGTAAAGTACCTAGAAAATGATTAGTACTCAAATGTGAATTATTAATGGTGGTGGTGGTGATAATAGAAGCAGTTATACTATCTGCCCCAGCTTTTGAAATCCAGGTCCAATTTAATATTTAAAATGTTTACTTTTATTTCAGTCAGGCCGATGATACATACCTGTAATCTCAGCGCTCAGGAAACTGAGGCAAGAGAGTGTCCATGAATTTGAGGCCAGCCTGGGCTGCATAGTGAGTTTAGGGCCTAAACTGCAAAGCAAGACCCCGTCTCAACCAAAAGAATGAAAACTTATTTTTTAGACAGTAATAACATGTTAGGCCGCCGAAGGCAGAAGGAAAAGAAGAGAACGTACTGCAGGCCTGACTCCAGCTTGCAGGGTGACCTCTTCGCATTTACATTGTGCTCAGTGTGTCAAACTTTCTACCTCTCATACTAAATTTCTTTTTGTTTAATAGAATCCCTTTCTGCTCCTAGATTAGACTGAGGAGAAAATGGCAAGCCATTGCCCAAGTTGATTGTCAAACAAATTTACCAAAGCCTGTTTGATTTGAATCTGTGTTCAATGCTTAACTAAACAATTACTTTACTTAACAATTTCAGTTAAATTTGGCTTAATAATATCACATCTTCAGATCTGCAGCTTTTATCTTCACATGCAAATAAATCCTTCATTTGCTGTAGAAAGAATGCGTTTGCCAAGATACTTCATGGCTTTAGTGAATCATTATAAATCCATCCAGTTTTAATTATAAGTAGGAAGTAAATACACGCTTCCTTATAAAGGAAGTACGTACTCCTTTGGCACAATACATATAGGACTGATTGTTTCTCTACCTGGCATCCTCCTATAATATATCAGACCAGAAGTTAGAGATACAGAGCAGTATTTTAAAATTTACTAAGAAACAGATGCCAAACAGTATTTTTATGTACTAAATATTTATAGATGTTCATTTCACTAAAAAAAGGCTTTCAATATGCTAAATAAAAATACAACTCCATGATAATGCCTCCCTCCGCATTATCAAATGTCAAACAGCAACATGCAGCAGAACTAAAGTGAATTAATTCAGTCAGTTACGATATTTAGCAGCAATGGTGTTTTTGAGGGTAACAACCATGACTTATTTTCCTAAGTATTTATGGAATTCTCTGAGTTACTTAAGGTATATAGGTTAACCATAGAGATAAGCAAACATTAGATTTGCTCTTTTTAAGTGCATTTTAATAATAATTTTTAGGTGCTTTAGGACCAGATGTAAAGGGCAAAAAAATCGTGAGAGCTACATCTGTCCTAGAAAATGTTGATTCATCTCCTTGCATTTGGAAAGAAGGAGAAAAAGTGAAATCTGGAAGTCAGACTGACTCTAAAAGAACCCAGTGAGTGGCTTTGTTGATCCCTGCCCTTTGCACAGGGCCTCAGTGCCTCGGTGACATTTACTTGAGGCTTAGCTCCATTTAAGTGAAAGGATGCTCTGGATACTGGCGGAGCACAAATTGATAAATGGAGAAGAGGCTTTAGGTTGGATGCTGCTGTTCTGAAAATTACTAAAGGATCCGAGGTTTTTAGAACTGTGATTTAGTTAGTAAATATTGGTTGAAAATGTATTTCCATCTAGTTTAGTAATGTTTTCTAGCAGTGACCAAGGCAGGTTTTCTCTGCCACCATAATTTTAACTGATGACCTGCAGTAAAGATAGAGTTAATTAATTTTTTTTTTTTTTTGGCTTTCAGCTTCAGTATGTCCCTGTGCATTTCTCCTAAATCTTTGTTTTTCTTTTAGTGCTGTTCAACTTTTCTACTCAGTGAGGAATATCTTTCATCTGTTCCATGATGTTGTACCAACATATCATAAGTAAGTCCCACTGTATCTCACTTCTGTGTAACAACTGTACATCTAAACTGTAAAGTTAAAGCCAATGAGTTTATATTTTCACCAGAAACATTTTGGGTACTGAAATTTTAAAACCTTTAAAAAGTCGGGCATTTACACTTAAATTGATGAGTAATTTTACAGTATTCTTGCAATATAGCGGGTAACAGAAATTTTACTCAAAAAAACTTTACCTATTTTTAATACTTAGGCATTTTCTTTTTTGTCTTTTTCGTTTTTATCGGTACCAGGGATCGAACTCACGACTGCCTGCTTGCAAGGCAGGCGCTTATGCCGCTGAGCTAAATCCTCAGCCCCTACTTAGGCATTTTCAGAACCGTTTTCTTGGATAAAAAACCCAAAGAAACATCATTCCATGTTGCTGTCTAGGAAACATGCTTTTGTTTCCTCTTGGCATTTGTGGTTTTGCAGAAAAAATGCAGCTTACCTGTTAAGTATGATCAGCCGTTTTTCTTAGCATCATAAACTGTATTTATCAGATCTGTTATTCTGAAAAGTTACTCAACTCTAAGTTTCTCAATGTACTTTTATTCAAATTCAATGTTTTAAATACTTTTTAATAAGTGTTTTTAAGAGCTGGGCTTATAGCTCAGTGATACAGCACCTGCCTGGCAAGTATGAGGTCCAGAATTTGATTCCTAGTACCCCCACACCCCCTAAAGTGTTTTTAGTAATAGTTCAAGAAAGTATTTCACAGTCAAGGGACTATGCTTTCAAAGAAAACCAAAAAACAAAAACCCCCACAGTTTATTATCTGAAGTATCTTTTGTTCAGGTTTTTGAGCATTCAGGTATTTATGACTTAGCCCACTTGTTTTCATTGTAAAAGAGCTCATCAATTGTGGATTATTGTTATTTGTATTCTCTGTGCTGTGGGTTAAAATTCTTAATTCATAGGTCTGGGGTAAGAACCAGGCGTCTGTGTTGTTTAAAGTCCCACAGATGACTGATCGCAGCCTGGAATAAGGAGACCTGTCTCCGGGTGTTGCATATTGCAGCCTGATCCTCAGTCAGCAAAGTGGGAGGTGCCTGTTGAGGCATATAGTGGAAATACAAGTTAAGATTCCTTCCCAGGGGGCTGGGGCTTTAGCTCAGCGGCATAAGCACCTGCCTTGCAAGCAGGCAGTCGTGAGTTCGATCCCCGGTATCGATAAAAAGGAAAAAGACAAAAAAGGAAAAAGACAAAAAAAAAAAAAAAAAGATTCCTTCCCAGGCTGAACAGATAGATATGTATCCAAGAATTAAAGTAGTGGGTTTTTTTTTTTGAGATAGGGTCTTACTGTGTGGGTCAGGGTGGCTTTGTACTCACTATGTAGCCTAGGCTGGCCTTGAACTCGTAGCAATCCTCCTGCTTCAGCCTCTTGGAGTGCTGGGTGCCACTACAGCTGTCTCTAAAGCAGTGATTTTTATTTTATTTTATTTATTTATTTGTTTATTTTAAAGAGGGTAAAACCAAGGAAAATAAAGCAGAGTAAAGCAAAAAAAACAAAAACAAAAACAAAACAAAACAAAATAAAAACAAAACTATAAGCGATACAGGGCTTCAAAACCTTAAGAAATCAGCAATAGCTACCATTATGCTTTTTGTTATCTTCAAAATAGTTACAGATACCTTTAGACATAGTAAAAATCAAGCAGAACAGACTAGAATAGAAACAATAAAATCAAAGCAATGAATGCAATAAAGGACTTCAAAACAAGCCAGTAGGGAATCCTGAGCTGCTTGCATAGCATTTTTTGCTATCCTTGAAATAGCTGCTCCTGCCATTAGATTTAACATAAACAAAACAAAAGAGAATAAAACCCCACCCAAGAAGACAGTGAAAATGATGTGGTCTCCAGGCGGGGACCCCCTCCTGGTGAGGCCTGGTTCTCTCCCTCCACAGTCTGCAAGTGGTGAGCAGTGATTTTTTTTTTCCTTTTTTGGTGGTACCAGGGATTGAACTTGCAACCTCACGCTTGCCAGACAGGCGTTTGCCCAGTGAGCAGTGATTTTTAAATCTTGGGTGAAAGTTAAAATCATTAGGGAGTATGTAAGGGAGTATATTTTCAGAGGTTGTGATTTAATTTGCTTGGGGTAAAATCTAAACATCTGTATATTTTAAAATTCCTAGTATAACTCTAACCTGTAATTAGCTTTGAAAGTTAGTGAATTAGAAAATAGATAAATGCTTTTATATAAATAAAATAGGAATTTGGAAGCTGGGTGTGGTAGTGCACACCTGTAATTCCAGCATGTGGGAGGCTGAGGCAAGAGGATTGCTGAGAGTCTGAGGCCAGCCTGGGCTACAAAGTGAGGTCAAGGCCAGCCAGAACTGCACAGTGAAACCCTGTCTCAAAAAGACAAAAAAAAAAAAAAAAAAAAAAAAAGAAAGAAAGGAAAAAAAGGGCTTTGGAGAAAGTGGAAATAAACTTGTATTTCTACAGATTTTAGAATTAAATTTCAAAGGTATCATGTACAGCTCTGCTAGGTTTCTGGTACAGAGAGTAGAGTCAGGTAGATTCTCCTGGTCTTTCCTTTTGGTTAGTTCTCAGGGTGCAGTCAGAAGATCTCAGCTGGAGGGTATGGACATGAGGAAGCTCATCTTGCAATGTGCAGCATTTGTAAAGTAGACAGTCACTAAGTCCTCCTGACGTCGTGACCCTGGCGGAGCAGTGGTGTTTCACTGGCCTTGACTTCAGTAATAGGTGGCTTCTGTCTCCCCTCTCCTCCGGCCTAGGGAGAATCTGCAGAAACTGCCCCAGTTGGCCGCCATCCACCACAACAACTGCATGTACATTGCTCACCACTTGCTGACCCTTGGGCACCAGTTCAGGTTACGTCTGGCGCCCATTCTGTGTGACGGCGGCACTGCTACCTTTGTGGACCTTATACCTGGCTTCAGAAGACTCGGTAACGATATCTTAAATTTAGGAAAACGTGAGCACACAGCTTCTCAGCCTGGTGTCTGTGTAGTTTGTAAATGAGGTGGTTAGAAGTTACGTGGTGGTCCTGATCTGCGCTGGAAAGTGGAAGGCCGTGTAATTTACAAATATCTCTAGTTACTTAATTTTATGTTATTTTTTGGTACCAGGAATCAAACTCAGGGCTTTGTGCTTGCCGGGCAGGGGCTGTGCTGCTGAGCTGTATCCCCGGCCCTCTAGTTACTTAATTGTATAAAATGAATATAGTCTGTGAAAGCACTGTTTTCCTTGTGATGTAACTTCACAGTATGTTAGCATTCCAGACTTCATCGTTGGTATATATTGCAGTCACCACATCAGAACTGTATTAGTAGAATGATACATAATAAGATTTATATTGGGAAAGTTCTGTTGTTGGTAAGAATGCATTAGTGTTAGAGGTTATTTTTGTGCAGAAACCCTAAGACAGTTATATCCCTTGCATCTGCCTTAGTTTTATTTGGGTCAATTAAAAATTAAAAGCATTGAAATATGAATTAAATGAATGTTTACAGTGATAGCCTGAGAAAAACAGAGAATATGTGTGGTCAATTTTTTTTATTCTTGATTTTGCTCTTCAATACTGTAAATGCAAACGGACAATAAAGTCTTTCTGTTCTGAGAACTGAACTCATGACCTCAGGCGTAGCAGGCTGGTGCTGTGCTGTCAGCTCTGTCCCCAGTGCCTGTAACTTTTCATTTCAGTGGTTTTTCTTAGCTGACTCGGACTGCAGACAAACCACTGGGAAAGGTTTGTCTGTTACCCTGAGAATCGGGTTGGAAGGCCCAGCCAGCTCCGTGCATTAGAAGTGATTCCTTTTAGCAGCCTTCAGGCAGCTTTATATCCTCTGGCACTTTTCTTCGGAAAGGCAGAACAGATACATGGTATATGTTTACTTTCCTCTTCTACTCTGAACAGCTTTTAGAATGTTTAATTTTGTTTTCCGTTACAGGGACAGAATGTTTTTTGGCGCAGATGCGGGCACAGAAAAGTGAACTTCTGGAGAGATTATCAAGCGCCAGGAATTTTTCAAACATGGATGATGAAGAGAATTATTCTGCAGCAAGTAAAGCAGTTCGGCAGGTGGGGCTGCGGCTGGCACTGAAGTTTGTGTAGGATGGCTGCTTGCTGTTTGTGTGGGTGGTGGTGTAGGAAAGCGGCCAGCATCCCCAGTCTGCTCCTCATAACCTCTGGAAAGCCTGGGTGCTTCTCTAGTCCGTCTGGGAACTTCAGCCAGCCCCACCAGGGCTGCAGGAAGCTCTCCTTTCATAGACCTAGTAATGTGGCTGGTCAGGCTGTTACAAAAAGGTGTTGACTTACGTACCGTATTTGGTAAATCTATTTCTGGTGAGTTTTATCTCATTCACTTGATTTTTTTGGTTAGCACAATTCCTTACTTTGGATACTAATTTTTCTTACCAGACATGGTTTCCAGTTTGTTTTTCATTCTACAGGTAGCAGTTTTTAGTCTTTTTTTTTTAGAGCAAGGTTACCTTTACAGCAAAACTGAGAGGAAGATAAAGATGAGTCCCATATGGCCCCTCCCCTACCTACGCATAACCTACTTTATTATCAACATCATCTGCCACAGTGACAGCTTTGTTTTTTTTTTTTTTTTTTTTTATTTAAGAGGAAAAAGAGAAAAACACAAAACAAACCAAAGCGGTGTAAGGGTACACGTAATACAGGACTACAAAAAACAAAACAAAACAAAACAAACAAAACAAACAAACAAAAAAAAACATAACAGTAAGAAATCACCTGTTAGTAGATTACATATTATCATCTTGAAAATAGTTCCTCAAATCACAGTATCAAAGAATACAAGGTGGACATTCAAACAGGGAGACTGCAAACAGCTGTGTTCAATGATCCAAAAACATTGATATAGTCAGCTATTTAACACCCCTAAACACACTTGCTGTTATATCCGTTAGAGCTTTTTCTTTTTTTTTTTTTTTCCCCTCTCTTTTTTACAACAAAATTTACACATTTTGGATTTTATTACTCCTTAGTGCTTATTACTTTAGTGACAGCTTTGTTATAATCGATGGGCCCACGTTGACACATCAGTCACCCAGAGTACGTTAGGGCTCACTTCTGTGTTGTGCATTCTGTAGGGTTAGTTGCCATGCGTCTACCACTGTGGGATCAGTATCCTCGCTGCTCTGAGTGTGCTCTGTATTCTTCTGTTCATTTCTCCCTAGCATGGGAAATCTAAAATAGAGCATTTCAACCATGTTTCCCTCACTTAAATGATTTATCTTTTCTTGCAGTTCTCTTATCCTCAGGGTAAGTCTGTATCATCTACCGTGGATACCATTAAAAGTTAAACATTCAAAAAGCAAGTGTCCTTGATTACCTCACTTTTGCATAGCTCGTCTTTCCGCATATACACAGCAAGTGAGTGAGGTAACCCTGGAAACAGGAGTCGCAGCAGTCTCTCTTCTCTGTGAATAGCTGTGTTCTCCTCACAGGTGCTACACCAACTGAAGAGGCTTGGAATTGTATGGCAGGACGTCCTGCCAGTGAACATATATTGCAAAGCTATGGGAACTTTACTAAATACAGCGGTTTCTGAGATCATTGGCAGAATCACTGCCCTTGAGGTAAGAGTCCTAGACTCTCATACGATCTGATGCCTCACGACTGAGAGTTGAAATGTAGCTGGGTGTGGTGGTGCATCCCGGGGGCCTGAGGCAGGATTGCTGTTCCAGGCCAGCCTGGGCTACGTGGTGAGACCCTGTCCAAAAGATGAGAGTGAAAACAAAAATTTGAGGTACAGTCCTTATCCTGGGTTGTGACTTTATTAAGGCAGTGAAGTCTCATTTTTAAACAACACATAGTTAGAAGAAATTGTTCATATTTCCTGTCTAACTCATGGTCTAATAATTTTCAATTTTGCCTTAATTCTGTTTTGCTGGAGACTTGCTAATCTCTCTCAGCCCTAGACAAACAAGTAGGATTGTTCTTCTTATTCTGCCATCTATAAATTATGGATGAGGAAATTGAGAACTGAACAGTGGCCCGAGTCTTCATACCATGTTGTGTAGTGTGAAGTTGTTTGGGTTGCACATCCACTAAATAATTTGGTAAAATGAGTACAGTCTATGCAGGTGCCCCTTGGATACCTGCAGACCCTACTTGATGCTTTTAAGGCGTAGATTGAAAGAATCCTGATGTGGAGCAGCATCTGCTTTGCAGCAGGTGTTGCCACCGTAGGGAGCAATGGACTCTTTATCAGAGGCAAACTAAATTGCCATCTATGGAAACCTATTTTGTGTCATTCTAGCTTTAGGAGTAGTATTTCAGAGCCCCGATGGAATAGGCAGGTACCCTAAATTAATTGGAAAACGTGCTGTCATAGCTCATCTACTTGATTAACCTGAGCCGAGAGGTACCCGTTCCCAGCTACCAAGTGGGCCCAATTCTGTTCTGTTGTCTTCCATTCTGCAAAACTAGGACATCTCTACTGAGGATGGTGACAGATTGTATTCCTTATGCAAGACAGTGATGGATGAAGGACCTCAAGTATTTGCTCCTCTGTCTGAGGAAAACAAGAACAAGCAGTATCAGAAAGCAGTTCCAGTCTACGTACCCAAATGGATGCCTTTCAGAGAACTGATGGTGATGCTGCAAGCGAGCTTGCAAGAAATCGGAGATCGGTGCGTGAAGCCCCTCTGCAGAGCTGTGTACCTCTTCAGCAGCCACGGAAGGCTAATGGTGCCGCTGGAGCAGCGTTGGTTGTTAGTGTTACTCAGGGAGCGACTTCCTACAGAGGAGGGATAGCTGGGGCCGTTTTGTAGTCCATTACAGTGTAACTTTTGTTACTGCTTTCTCAGTGGATGATACAGACTTCTCACTGATATTTTTTAGATCTTGAACATGTGGTTTTAGCATGCAGTGCACATGATCTAGCATTTATAATAAGTACATTTGCATGGAAATCGTTGCTAACTTAAACCAGTAGTGAATGCATTTTAAAGGTGACTTTGGTGTCTTGTCAGAGAAGCAACTTATATCTTTCTTTAATGTTCAGCATCACAAGACTTTCTGAAGGTAGTTTTTCTGTAGAGGACAGTGGTTTGAGAAGCTAAGTATGCACTTAGGAAAGATTCTTTTCCTGAATGTGCTGGGTGATATTTTCGTCTAATGCTGTCACTTAGTACCACTATGCACCATGTGCTCCATCATATCACAACGTGTGGAGGTCACTAGTGTGCGTAAGACGGAATAGAGGCGGGTTACTTTTACGTCCACTGGTACTTTTGTATTGTGAGTGAGGCTGTCTGCCTCTTGTTCCCTGTGGGGTCCTTAAGATCTGTCTCCATCTCTGTAGCTAGTTGTCTCTTTTGCTTTTAGTTAGTGTACAGCAGATGAATTATATTAGATCAGTCATCCTAGATATTTCTAAGTTGTTTACAACACGTACTGTCCAGTCTAAAACAATGTAAAGCCAGGAGTGGTGGTGCATGCCTCTAACCCTACCACTCAGGAGGCTGAGACAGGAGGATTGACACAGTTTGAGGCCACTGGTGCTACATAGTGAGTTCAAGGCCACCCCTAACTATGTAGTGTCTCAAAAACCAAACCAAACCAGAACAAACCAGACCAACACAAAACCCAATGTAAATGAAACTTCTACCTGAAAAGAAAATTACATCAAACTATCTTTATAGTTAATACGGAGTTTTGATTTGTTATAAATAAATAAATCCTTAGTAGGTAAAAGATGTCTCCAATATGCTTCAGAGATCAGTAGGTGGACATTTTATATCTGCCATTAATGAGACTTCTTGCAGGTCAGGGGAAATGCTGCATGCCTGTGATCCCAGAGAGTAAGGAGGCTGAAATAGGAGGGTCACAAATTTTAGGCCACCTTGGGCAAGTTAGCAAGCCTGTCTCAGAATAGACGGGACTGAGGTTGTAGCTCAGTGATTCAGTGCCCTGAGTTCACCCCCTCGCACCACAAAATAAAAGTAGGGGCTTCTAACACTGAGGGAGGCTGAGGCAGGGGGATTGCAAGTTTGGGTGCTGTCTGGACAGCCTAGGGAGACCTTGTCTCCAGCGGGGTGAGAAGGCAGCTCCGTGGTGGTGTGCCCTTGGCTTCCATTCTGTTCCTGGAAAAAGGTTAACAACCAAGGGAGAGCATTTTTACACCAGAGACAATATGATGTTTACACATGCAAGTGAATTCATTTCACTTACGAATATAGTCTCCAAAGCCTCAAGTTTATACGTCTTTGTAGCTGAGTAGTACTCCAGTGCATGAAAAGATCTTTTTTATGTGGTTGATGGGCACTTGGGTTGTTTCCAAGATCTGGCTATATATCACTGTGGTATGATGTTTTCGGTTCTGGGAATATGCCCAGAAGAGGAATAGCTGGGTTGAATGGCACCTCTAATCCTAGTTTTTTGAGCATTTTCCACACTGATTTCCACAGTGGTTGTACCAGTCTACAATCCCACCAACAACGGAGAAAAAAATGGACACCTTTTTTTTTTTTTAAGAGTAGAACTATTTATTGAGAAAGACGGCTTCTGTCTGAGAGGGAGACCGAAGGGGTCCCGAGTGGTGCCCCAGGAGAGCTCCTTTTTCCCCACAGTCCTTCCTGCATTTGTTACTGGTTGATTTCCTGATACTGGTCATTCTTTCTGAGAATGGAATTTTGTTTTAATTTACATTTCTCAAATGACCAATATATAGAACATTTTTCCATATATTTATTTGCCATTTTTATTTCTTTGTCTGAGAACCGTGTATTCATCTCAGATGCCCATTTTTGGAGGTTTTTTGGATTGATTTTTTTCAGTTCATTATGTATTCTAGACAGAAGTCCTTTGTCTGAGGGACAGTTGGGTAAAGTTTTTCCCATTCTGTGGGTGGCCTTTTCACTTTTGGTGGTTTCTTCGGATGTGCAGAAACTTTTTAGTGAGATGAGACCCCGGCTGTTGATTCTGTGCAGTGCCTCCGTGCAGTTTGGTTCCGTTCGTGGTGAAGAGCGAACATTTTCTTCACCAGAGCACCCTAGTCACGTGTAACTTAGTTATTTTAAAGTTACCAGATACGCATATGAAGGAGCGCAGTGTATATAACATATTCATAGGTTAAGAAGAATGGTTCTGTAGCTATTCTCTAATTTAGGGAAAAAATATAAGCTACCTTCCAAGTACGCAGTGTGTCCTCTGAAGGCTTCACGTCAGAGGGCTGGTTTTCTTGAATTCCCTTATTTCCTCGCCTTTCTTTATAGTTTTCTGTTTACTCACACTCTTTTCTGTTGTCATTCTGAGACAGGGTCTCACGAGGCAGCCCAGGCTGCCCTCACAGTTATTTTTCTGCCTCTGATTTGCAAGTGCTGGGATTACCGACCTCCAGGACTGTGCCCCAGCCACACATACTCTTTGATTCTGTCTTCTCACTTAATGCTTTATTCTAATTTTTATTTGTTCAGAGAATTTTCTTTATTAATACATAATGCGTATATTCCTTGTGAGGAGTTGGCACCTGTGCGTGGCGTATTTTAATTCCTTTTTTATCCCCTTTTGTTCCCTCCCTTGTCCCTACCGCCATCTCTCGATTCCTTTCCCCTTTGAAAAAGAGCTGTCTCCCTTCTTTCTGTTATCTATCTTTAATTTTGCTCTTTGTACACATAGTCCTTTTTTTTGGGTTATTTTGAGGTAGGGTTTCAGTGTGCAGCTTAGGCTGGCCTTGAGCTTGCAGTGATCCTTCTGCCTCAGCCTTCTGAGTTGTAGAGTTGCAGGCCTGCACTGCATACCTGGCCAGGACACACAGTGTTAATACAAAGTTTGGACTTGGCCTGTTCTTAACTATGTGTGATTGGAGTCCTCTTAACTTACTTCTTTTGGTTTTGTTTTTTCGGTATTGGGACTCGAACTCAGGCCTCGTGCTTGCCTGGCAGGGGCTGGGCCGCTGAGCTGTATCCCCTGCCCTGTCTGCTACTTTCGTTGCACAGTGTAGTTTGGAAGTGGATTCCTGGGGTTTGTGTGCTGCACGCCGTTGTACAAATATCTCATAGTTCATTTGTTCCCTTTACATTTCACCAGTGTTTGCGATTTTCAGGCTCGATAATCCAGTTAGTGTAAAATGACAGCTTGTTGTCATTTTAATTTGCATTTACCTGAATTCTGGTAGGACTGGGCAGCTCTTCCGTCATCTGTGTTTCTTGTCCTGTAAATGCCTGTTCACATCTTTTCCCCCTTCGTTCTGCGGAGGTTGGTTCTTGGTAGTACTTTATATACTTACATTTTGTTTTATTTATTTATGTTTTGGTACCGGGGATCAAACTCACGACCTTGTGCTTGCCAGGCAGGCACTTGTGCCGCTGAGCTAAACCCCCAGCTGTGTTTTAGTTTTTGTATTGTTCATGATACTTTGTGTATTTTTAATACCAATCCTTTTTCAGTTAAAATTTATTGTCTGTGGTTTACTTTTTAAATTTTTTTTATTTTTATGGTACCAGGGATCAAACTCACGACCTTATGCTTCTTAGCCTGGTGCTTATACCACTGAGCTAAATCCCTAGTCCTGTGGTTTACTGTTCATAAAGTAGCTATGGAGACCAAGGCATGGGAGGGATATGGTCATCGCTACCCTATTCACAGAGACCTTGAGTGCAGGACACGGGAGCAGGCTAACCTTCCTCTCCTGCTCTTTGCCTCTGGCTGTGCTGATACCGGATGCAGCCAGTGAGCTGAGAGATCTGAGATATTGACGGGCAGATCTGTAGAGAAGGGTACCTAAGGTTTACTGTGTTTGTATTTAAAAGAAGCATTTGGTTCAACTAAGAAATGTACACATCTTTCTTGTAATTCAGAGACACAATGGGAAATAGGACTCTATAATTTGTTTGTTTGTTTGTTTTTACAGATGGGCAGATGGAAAAGGGCCTCTGGCAACTGCCTTCTCTTCCAGTGAAGTAAAAGCTTTAATTCGTGCCTTATTCCAGAACACAGAAAGAAGAGCGGCTGCCATTGCTAAGATTAAATAATTCATTTTCCTGAGAAAAACTGTGTTTTGATTCTGTGGATTCCTCCTGTTGTGTAATTATGCCCGTAAGACTTTCTGGAAGTTTGGCTTTATGTAAAGACACCTCACCTCCTGGCCCGCGTGCGGCCCTGTTGTGGGATGGGATAGTGGGATGAGATCGCAAGGAAGAACCTCAGTTCACTGACTCTCAGCCGCCTGCCTTTGATAATTACCAAACTGTGATTCCCAGTGCAAAAACAACACATGCACGCATGCACATGTGCGCACACCCATATACACACACAGAAAAAGGAACTAGGACAGGAGTATTTTATGCTGCTTCCTGGCCCTCTGGAAACTACATACGTTATAATTTTAGGTCCTGGCTTTGGATTAAGGAATCCAAGAGATCCTAAGAGGGCAAATACTTCATGAGATTTGCTGAGAGAGTGTCTATGATCATTATATTTGGTCTTGCAAGAGTTAGGGCTAATTCCTGTAGTATTTCCAGTGACTAATGTATTTCAGAGTTAAAGGTATCTTTAAAAATGTGGGAATTTCAGCAAAGAGAGAGAACAGGTTGTCCTACCCATGCTTTTCTTTCTGTTGTCATCTGTGACCCACACAGAGCACTCCCTGACTTGTCATGTGCGTTCTTTGTAGCATGACCTAATAATAACTTTCTGAGAATTCCTAGGTGTCTTATAACTCTATGTTTTGGGGACTTTCTGCTGTTTCAGCTATGTTTAATTTTTTGGACTGGAATTTCCCCAGTTGTTTCCATACCCTATCAGATGTAAGGTTTTAAATTACCCATGTTCTGGGGCTGGAGATTTAGCTCAGCGGCATAAGCGCCTGCCTTGCAAGCAGGCAGTCGTGCGTTCGATCCCTGGTACTGATAAAAAGGAAAAAGACCAAAAAAAAATTTTTTTTTACCCATGTTCCTGTACAGTATGTATGCCATAAACTACTAATATTGGGCCTTACAGCCTGATCCTTTGTTTGGTGGACAAACCTTATTCTTTAGCTCAACTTTCTGTGTATTTAAATCTTTGCAGCCATTGGAGGTCACATTATGTTATCTTGAACCTGTCTAGGACTTTAGATTGTATGTCTTTTTACTGTGTTATAGTTTCTCCTCCTGAAAGAGGGCAGAGAATGTGATTGGTTTTTTTCCTTGATTCTTTTTAAAATATATTTTTATTGGTGCATATTGCTTTTTCAAAATATTGGGTTTCAGTGTTGTGTTTTCATACATACATCAACATTATGTGCGCCCTGTTACTCTTACACCCCTCTCCTCCGTCCCCCGTCCCTTCTTCTCAGTCTAAGGGGTGAGCTTTATGTCCTTCTGAAGCACCTGCCGACAGGAGGGTTTCCAGTGTAGTGGGCGGGCTTGATTATTCCTCAGTCTTCCAATCGCTGGTCCTGTAACAAATCATCTTCCTGTCTTCGCCCTCTTTTTTTTTTAATTGGTACTGGGGATCAAACTCATGACTGCCTGCTTGCAAGGCAGGTGCTTATGCCGCTGAGCTAAATCCCCAGCCCCGCCCTCTTGTTCTTAGTTCTGATTTAACCCTTTCAATCAGGTCATTCTGGTTGCTTAGTCTTTCTTTTCCTATGTCGGGTCATAGAAAAACTAAGAAGGAACCTAGTTTTCATCTTATAAGGAAATTCAGCTGGGTTAATGACAAGCTGTCTGGCTCTGCATGTCCTAATGAAGAACCCACAGAGAAAAAACCATTCTGAGCCAGCTTTAGTGTTTTGAGAACAAAGAAGTGGGCTTTCTTAAGGCGGAGGAAGGGGCCATATTACAGTATCTGATTGAAAGTTCTCACCATTTCTGGTAGCATTCGTTTCTCAGCAATCGAGAGACTGGGGAGCTAAGGGCAGAGCTGACATACATGCATTACAGGGCTGTTACACAGAGCAGCAGATTTCTTTTGTTCATAGAAGCTCTTCTTGTTGCTATTTGGGGCTGGGATCTCGTACTGAAAAGCATGCTCTTCACTTCTTCCCTCCCCTAGTAACACAGATAAACTGTTAGAGTTCTCGGGCTGTGTGGGCTCAATCTTAGGAGACTGCCCCAATGAGCATAGTGTGTGAGCCAGGGCACACAGAGCAGTCCGACTTCATTGTCTTCCCTGTGCGAGGAATTGCTAGGCAGGGATGAAGGAGATCCTCCCACTGAACCTGTGGGCCTTGGGCCTGGCAGCTGTGAGGCTCTTGGGTGCGCCAGTTCTGACTGGGTGCTCAGACGGGAGCCTTTGAGAAGAGCACGGTGGTTATGGGCGTAAATGAGCCGAAGAGCCTGCTCATTGAGGAGATAGAGCCACGAGCCAAATAGAAGGAACCTCAGCCCAAGGAGCACCCAGAATTACACAGGTGACTGAGGAGTGAAATTCATGAAAGATATCCCAAGTTTGTAATAAAAGAGAAAGTTGTTGAAAAGGTAAGTCTGCCAGCAGTTGAGGTTTGGGTTTGATAGTGGCTCGTGTTTCTCTGGTTTCTCTGTGGGGCAGGCTATGTGGTGGGAGCCTGCCCCTGGACGGTGCTGTGCATCAGTTTCTCTGCAGTGCAGATCCTCCAGATGGCACTGTTCCCTCAGCCTGGCAGCATCGCAGAGCATCCTCTCGGCTGGGAATGGAAGCTGCCGAGTCTCTTTTCCCCTTTTGGCCTTGGTCAGATCTGGAAAGGACAGCTAGACTCTGAACAGTGCGTACACTATAAACTCCAGTGCTTTGCTGAACACTCAGTTGTGAGTAAAACACTTTCTTCCTTTCCCTCCCTCCTTTCTTCCCTTCCTTTTATTTTGGGGAGTGAACCTAGGTTTTTACTAGGCAAGCACTGTCCTACTAAGTGACACCCCAGCCCTTTTAATTTGCTTATTTTGAGATGATAGTATGTTGCTCTCCTGCTTCAGCCTTCTGAAAGCTGGGATTGTAGATATATGTACCGCCATGCTGGGCTCAGTACTTCGTTGGATTCATAGTATTGTTTAAGGAGACATGGATAACCCTTTTACCATGCTTATAAACACTTATCATTTAAGGCAGTAATTCCAAGATTTTGCCTTCTGTAGGTACCAAGTGGTATATACATACATATACACATATATACCCCTAGGGTATTTTTGTGGTTATAAAATACTGGTCCCCGAAAGTCGTTTCTCTAAGCTCCACACTGATACAGATGATTTTGAAGTGTGCATTAATTTCTTTTTTAAAATATTGCTGCCAGATGTGATGGCACATGCCTGTAATCCCAGCACTCAGGAGGCTGAGGCAGGAGGATCACTGCGAGTTCAAGGCCAGCCCAAACTGCAGAGTGAATCCTTGTTTAATAAAAGGAAAATACATATATAAGCCTAAAACTCTTAAAAACTGCAGAATCCCAGTTTTGATAAAATGTCAATTATCATATGATGTAGAGTTGAATTTTAAAGTTGGGAGGAATTTGGTTAAGACGTCTGTGCTATTACAAGCTGTAACTGGAAAGCATTAGATATTTCCAAATCAGGCCTTGAAATCTGCCTAGAGGTTAGGAACAGGGCAGTAATTCTGATGAGCTATGTACAAGTCCCTCACTTCAGAAATCTAATGCCCTGTTTTTGTTTGTTTAGTGCAGGTGAGTAGGATAGGAGTGAAAGGGTCTTAGCTGCTGCTGCTAATGAGGAAGAGACTGTCAGGCCAGAGACACCTGCTGTCGCCTGGCCACAGGCCTCAGACTTTCCACGTTCATTGCACTTACATTTATTGTAAACACAATTAAAAAACAAAAATTCCCTATGTTTTAGTAATTTAAGTTCTGGTGATGACAAATGATAAATGTAAGTAAATATTTGGAAGTAGGAAGTGCTAGGGAAAAGCGGATGAGGATTAGGCATTCTAGAGGGGAGCTCTGTGGGGTGGTGAGTGAGTGCATCTGGGTAAAAGGCCAGCCCTGTGCAGACAGCTGAGACCAGCTCTCGCAGGACCAAGTTAGGCATGTGCCTAGTGAGCTCAGAACAGCAAATGAAACATTAGTAGCTCTAAGAAACCTTAACAAATGGAAACAGAATAGTATGGTGAGTCCTCCTGTGTCCCCCCAGCTTCAACCAGGATCTCAGGGCTCACCTTGCATCACTGTGACCCTTCGCCTAGCTCCCAACCTGTGAACGTACACTGGGTCACAGTGCCAGACAGTAGATTGCAGGCTTGGGGAGCCTGCATTTTGTTTAACGGGAAGGTTTCCTTTGCTATTTTTACCTCTGCTTCCTGGAGCTGCTGGCATCCCTCTCTGTCTTCCCCAATTCCAGCTGTCCACGAAGGCTCAGACTGTACCCACCCCTCCCGTCCCTTATCACTGGGTGTTCATACATGCTTCAAACGCACTTGGCAGCTGACTGGCATTTCCACTTCTCCTTTGTCTCCTTTCCTTTTCCCCAGACACCTGGTACAATGCATCCAGTCCTGCAGTTTCCAGGTATTCAAAAGCCGCACAAAGAATTCCTTTTGCTGATTCTTTCATGAGAAGGATGCCACGTGACTGAAGAAGCAGATTCCCAGGGAACCCTGGAAGACATGGTGACCTCGCAGGCTAGGGCCTCTGTTCTGAGGCTGACTAGGGGCTGCTGTCTGGGATTGGGCTGGTTTCAGGCCAAGCAATCCCTTTCCTGAGACCTGTTGGGGTGAAGTGTTGGGGTGGTGTGGCCCCGGCTGACTTCGGTCTCCCGCTGCCCATATTTTCATTTAAAAAGCTGACTTAAAAGAATATTAATTGTTTTCATTTCCACGAAGAGCTTGTTTAGTAGCTTGCAGTAAGATAAAAACTATAACATTGTATCATTAACTTCGTAATAAACTTCAATACTAAGCTTTTTCCATAAGCTGTGTAAATAGTTTGCCATACTTATATCTACGTTATTGTTCTTCAAAACAAAGTATTAGGGCTTTTGCTCAACATCTATTTAGTACACTGCTCTAGGATTTTTTTTTTTTTTTGTACGGAAGGTTGAACTCATGACCTCATGCTTGCCTGGTAGGCGCTTGTGCACTGAGCTAAATCCCCAGCTGAATCTTTTGTAGAGTTGCTTTTGGCTGCATTGGTCTGAGGTAGCACTAGATATTTTGTCTCCCTTTTGAAAACTAGGGCGCTTGCTCATTTCAAAAGCTGTGTAATATGGTTTTGTGAGTCCCATGGGGTATAATTCCCCGGGTCTACAAATGTTAATTCATTTGAAACCCAGGTTTTTGTTCCCTATCTTTTCTGTTCTCTTAGGCTTGATTTCCCTCTCTACAGCATTTATTCAATCTTTTGTCAGTTGAAGATAATTCTTGATAGGGAATATGAGAGCAAAAAGTGGTGGATCTCTTTAGCTTGTTTTCTGTCATGTTTAAAACAACTCATAGCCGGGCGTGGTGGCGCATACCTGTAATCCCAGCACTCGGGAGGCTGAGGCAGGAGGCTTGTTGTAAGTTCAAGGTCAGCCTGAACTGCATAGCAAGACCCTGTCTCAACAAGATGGGGGGGGGGTTGTTAAAAATAAAACAGCTCCCAATCAACTCCAAGCTGACCTTTTTTCTTTCTTCAAACAGGTCAGAGCCCCTCCTCCCATCAAATCCTTTACAATAGTGTATTTTAAATGACCTTTAATGTGTGCTCTAGGCTTCATGGTACTGATTTTCTACCTTGAGGCCATTCTTAAATATTGCTTACGAATGGCTTGATCTTTTGAGTTTGCTTTATTTTTGTTGTTTTCAGACCTCTTTGCTGGTTTCCATCTGCAGCTGCATTCCTGTTCTTTATTTTCTATTTTATTATAATAGGGTTTTCATTTTGAAAGCCATCTCCTCACTTTTATCCAGCTGTGATGTCTTTTTTTTGAAGTCCATAGCCGTGAGGTCATTGCTGGCATTTTTCTGTGCTCTTAGGATTTCCTAGAGCCTGGGTATGTAGCGAGGCCGTCCAATTTCCTTGGCCTACTGTGAAGTTTCCAGTTGTGTTCTACTTGATGTTCTGGATTAAAATACTTCCCCTCTACGCTTCTTTGCCTTTCTGAAAATCAGTTACTTGCAAGGCATTAAAACACACACACACACACTGGATTTTAGCAGGGTGGGACTTCTAAATTTACAGAAAGCTAAAATCCTAGGGCTGGGGATTTAGCTCAGTGGCATAAGCACCTGCCTTGCAAGCAGGTGGTCGTGAGTTCGATCCCCGGTACCGATAAAAATGAAAAAAAAAAAAA